CGAATTTTGTTGCTTGATTGACTTTTTAATCCCCATTGTTACCTGATGAGTATTAAATTTATCCATTAAAATACTCGGACTTGCCTGTTAAATTTGCTGCGGTCTGTGGGAACGGTTACAAGTCTTTTAAGTGTGGCGGACAACTCTGGTTGCATAACATATTTTCGGTCACGCACCGTATTACAAACGAAACAAGCCTGATAAATTTGAAGTTGATTAAAGCTTATAAATACCTGGTCTCCTATGGTATTTTTTTATTAAATACTCCCTTGCCTTGAAAATAATTTGGCGTTTAAAGAATTGCTACGGAAGGTATTTATTACAACGTTTTATTCATTCAGTATTATCAAAACCTGCGCTCTGCAATCAAGAGCGAACAACTCTCTTCAAAATGTAAACAACGCAAGCAGTGAATGCATTTAACGGGATGACACAGATTTATCAGCGTGTAATTTCACTTTTTTGGACGTTTTCGCTTGCCTTTCAGTTTCTTTGTTGAAAAAAAACCTTGCGTTTCAGTTACGTGACTGCAGGGCCCGAAATAACCGCGTATTGTCAGTTCACCGATTTGCATGACAACTTGATTCGCGGAGCTAATCGAGTGAGACAGGAAATAAATCTAAAACTGTAATCGACAGATCAAAACTTGCGGAATTCATAATTCCTCGAAATAATTTCGTAGAAACGCTTGTATAGTTTGATTGCTCTGGAGAAATGAATAACTGTTATGATTGAATGAATGGATAACTCTCGGCCGGACGGATTTTATTAAGCGATAGGCGAGAAAAAATGCTTCAGCGGCTTGCTTTCTACTTCGAAACCTCGGCAAGAAAAAAAATCCAATCTCGGTCCACAGTGGTCGAAATTTATCGTTCAAGATCTCTTTTTGAAGCTCTCAAAACTCTCCTTTTTGAAAAATACGTACCCAAGTCGAAGAAGTTTTGCGAAAGACTTAAATCCATAAACTTCTACCGCGATATGTACGATAATTCTCTGCAGTTTTATTGACACATTTAGAACAAAAGGATACCTTTAAAACTTTGTGGCCCTGGGCAGCTTAATTAAGCCATTGTTCAATTCCTTTGAATTCGCTTCTGAGTCTTCCGCCATAAAATCTCACCTTCTTTGAACCGAGTCAAAACGAGCACTCTCGAAGGGAAAGTCCGGAGGAATAAACTGAGCCCTCAGGGTACAAAATCCAGCGGTTATGCCCATTTCTGAAATACACACTTAAATCGGCGTGAAGTTGTAATGCATCTAATCTTCTCCACCAACCTCTTAAGGTGGCTCGATACAGTTTTTCAGGGCCAATACCTCCCAAGTTTGAGCATAAACTACGTCGCCATAATCAAAGTTTTGGAAAAATTGCCATCACAGTTGTATTAGATAAAGATGAAAATTTGTTATGATCAGGGTTGTAACGGCATCGGAGTTATCATAGCAACGAAATGATGCTATTTCCTATTTTACTTGCAGTAGTATATCTCGGCACTGGGAACTGTTCTTCCAAAATCATTCACGGGAGCTTTTTCCTCCAATTGCGGCCTCGATGTTCGTGAAGTTCAAGCGAAATCTGTAAGAGCGTTATCGAGATATTTTGGGATGAAGTTTTTGTGGTTAGAAACACAGTAAAAATGGACAATATTGTTGTTTGGCCGTTATCTGTAGAAAATGAAGCGCTTTTTACATGCAATTTCACCTCATAGTAGTTTCAATCTTTTCAAAAACGTGTGTGAAAGATCATGGAGATAGCTCCAGCCGATTGCTAGAAAGAAGGGTTTTATTAGCATGTATCGAAGCGCTCTTGTTAGCGGTTTTATAAACATTTTGGTCTTCTTTAACAAATTAGCGAATAGTTTTTAAACCGCTCGATAGATTTTTTTTAAAATTTAAGATTCTTGAGATTAACCTTTCTTTTATATGACCTTTTAGTTTCAAGATTATTGATACATTGTAAGGGAGTAAAATAAGGGCTACAATTCGTTACTTTTTTATCGGAAGTTTTGTTATTACAAGTGAAAGCCTCTCATTATTCAAGGCATTGTCTCCAAGTTTCATGTTCACGTGAACAGCAATAACTAACAATGCATTTGACATATGCAAAAATGCTAGCTATTGTTATGCCCGAAAATATGAAACTTGGAGACAATACCCTGAATAATGAGAGGCTCACATTTGTAAACACAAAATTTCTGCCAAAATATTGGCGAATTGTAGCCCTTATTTTACTGCCTTACAATTTATCAATAATCTTGAAACTAAAAGGTCATATTAAAAAAAGGTTAATCTCAAGAATCTTAATTTTTTTAAAAAATCTATCGAGTGGTTTAAAAATTATTCGATAATTTGTTAAAGTAGACCAAAATGTTCAAAAACCGCTAACAAAAGCGCCTCGATACATACTAATCAAATCCTTCTTTCTAGCCATCGGCTGGACCTATCTCCACGGTCTTTCACACACGTTTTTAAAAAGATTGAAACTACTATGAGGTGAAATTGCATGTAAAAAGCGCTTCATTTACTACAGATAACAGCCAAACATCAAGATTGTTCATTTTTTACCGTATTTCTAACCACAAAATCTTTATCCCAAAATATCTCGACAACGCTCTTACAGATTTCGCTTAAACTTCACGAACATCGAGGCGGCTATTGGAGGAAAAAGCTCTCGTGAATAATTTTGGAAGAACAGTTCCCAGTGCCGAGAAATACTTCTGTAAGTAAAATAGGTAATAGCGTCATTTCGTTGCTATGACAACTCCGATGTCATTGCAACCCTCATCATAACAAATTTTCATCTTTATCTAATACAACTGTGATGGCAATTTTTCCAAAACTTTGTTTATGGCTACGTAGTTTATGCTCAAACTTGGGAGGTATTGGCCATGAAAAACTGTATCGAGCCACCTTAAGAGACTTTTTATATGCTCCAGATTAACGCCATATCAAAGTAATAGCTAAGTATACATCTAATTGAACATTCAGTCATGTACTACATAAACTATAATTCTAATGCAATGATCTCATAGCTGACAGTCTGCCTTGCTTTTTTTACTGCTTGCTTACGAAAAAAGACTTGGTGACTAGATCCATTGCTAACCGGCACCATTGTTTCGTACGTAGGCCCTTGTCAGCCCTTACTGTTCTTGACAAGATTCTTCAGTAAGTGGCTTGTTGAATAATTTAGCTTGAGTCGTTTTCTCTTTATCAGGGTTTCTTTACTACCAACCCAAATTAGCACATTATGAGTAGGAATTTGCGGGTAGTAAAACATGTAGGCCCGTAGAGGGAGAAGGGGACATTCTGTTAATGGTCAGAGAAGAGGTCAATGATTTAGGACAAAAACCACCAATACACGTTACAGTTCCAACAGAGAAAAAAATGATAGCACAGATTAGATAAAGAGAACAAAGGGCGCTTGTCTTTTCGATTCGTTTTCGTCACTGCTTTCAAGTTCCTAAGATAAGCAAGCACTTCTATTAACTAATTTCACAAGTTAATTTTAAAGCCACTGAACCCGCGAACATGTTAAGACTTAATTTAAGAAATCTGACAATCCTAAATCTACAGGCCAAATTATTGGAAATGTCATTTTCATGCCGAAGGACATGATAGGGTTTGATTGGTGTTGTCACCAACTTATAAAGTCATTCAATTAAGAGGAGAAGTCATTACGTCAACTTGCCATGGTGGCAAAACTTCTGGATGACAACAAAACCGAAAAAATCAATTAAATTAGCACTGTTTTGAAACTTCACCGACCTTATTCAAGTACAATTAATTTGTCAAATGTTCAAGGGGGAAATTCTCTAGGCTCGAATCCGAAAGGACAGTATCTAGATTTAGAAAAAGAAGAAGTAAATTTTTGTGTTGTGTTCACCTAGTCCATAAAGCGGGCGCGTGAAATTAGGAAGTTTCATGTCGCAATCGTGCAATGACGGCTAAGAAATGTACAAAAAAGCGTGAGGTACGTGCGGAGTTGTTGATTTGCCAGTCTAAACCTACTGCTTTTTTGCCAATCTCCTTGATTAAGCTCCCATGGTTGTGATCCAAAATTTTGCTACCATGGTAACGTGACGTCAAACTTCTCTCTATTTCTACCCTGACTTATCTGCCATCTAATCTATAGTCAAAGTTTGCTACAACTGACTCTACTAAATGTATACCTGACAATCATGTCTATAACCCAAGAAGAGAGAAAAATGAATTGGCCGTTTCTCAAGGTATTAAATTTTCACAGTAGCTGCGTTTCAGCAGATGGCGACTGTGCTTCGTCTGCTTCCTTAGACCTAAAAAAAAAGAACGTAATTTCAGTGAATTACTCCAGGCCAGTATCATTTAATTTTGTTTCTCGAATTGCGTGAGAGTTTCACCGCGATGCGATACACGTCCACCAGGTGTCTCTAGGTGTCCTAAGTGTATAGCTTGTGCTCATCAGTTAAATCAATAGGAAAGACTTGGTGAAAATTCGTATACGTAACCACAAACTCATGATTGAAACTGGAAGAGATAATCAAACTCCCCACAACGATAGATTCTCCCCTGTTTGTAACTCTGGTATAATTGAAGATGAATTTAATTTTCTCTTGCATTGTCCAAAGTATTCAATTCCAAGGGAAACATTCTACAATCAAATCCAACAAAATTTTGCGATTTTAATCTGCCGTCTTGCACAGAATTAATTAGTAAATTGATGAATTCACAGAATTTTTCTGTAAATTCACATTTTTTGAAATTTGTCCCATTATATGTAATGATTTAAGTTATAATTTGTTATAAAATCATACTGATGACACTTGATTGACCATTGCAATCATTGCATAAATTTTAACTTTATCTTAGGAAGCTTTTGCAATACTCAGAATACTGCAACTACATATAGTCATGCAAATAACCTAAGGGTTGATGGCGCTAAATTAAATTATAGCTTGTTTTGCAATTCACGCTCAACACCTGACTCTTGATTTCTATTGAGACATTCCGGAGACAAGTAAATCATACCTGAAGCAGTGTAATGGGCAGGGTCGTGGTTTTTCCATACAAATGATACCGTAGAATTCTTTGTCCTGATTGATGTCCTCCACTGTCTGATATGTCTGGCATAAGAGAGTCTCGGGAAGAAACAGGGCTACCAAGCCAGCGGCTACCGTCAGACAGCCGAAAATAACCATGGGAAGAGTCGCGCTCATTCCCGGTAACTGCGCCTGTGTTTCAAAGTGAAATTACTGAGTTTATTTAGGCCATAATTAAGCTGAAAAATTTAAATGCTTTAGCTTTCACTGCAGAATCTGTTTGTCAATTGGCAAAAAAAGACGTTTCTCAGTAGGGCGCGCAATTGTTTTTACTCGCTTCATTGCTTTGTTGAATTTTTAAAAAGTCGAGGAGTTAAGGCGAGTTAAAGTGGAAGGGAAACCAGCGGGGGTAGCGGGGCGCGGGGAGAGGGGAAAGAGAGGAGAACGCCCCTATCCTATGGGTTGCGTTTCCTACTCTCCCCAGTCTTCCTCAGAGATAAAATCAAAGATGGTGTCCACACGCGGTATTAAGAACATAGACGAGCAGCTTTCGCTGGACCAAAATTTACGCCTGCATTGCATTCTATAAAAAGGATTATTTTTAGACAAAAAATGACCTTACCAACATGACTATGTAGGGAGCGATAATGGATCCCACACGAGCACTTGTTGAACAAACACCAATACCTTGATTTCTAGCAAAAATGAACTCATCGTGAATTTCTTGATTATAAATAAATATAGATATCCTTCAAATAAAAATTAAAACGACAAACTGGCAATTCGCACTTTAAATTACCTCAGTTCTGTAGGGTACAGCTCACTGGAATACAGGTAGATGTTTGAAAATGAGCCGCTGGCCATGAAACGACCGATGAAAGCTAAAGCAGTAATAGTGCCCTTCTGATCTATTAGCAGAAAAAAATTATTCAAATTAACATCCTTCGAGGAGAATTTTCCTTTAACATTACAGTTCTTCTACTTATATGGTTTCTTCATAGTCATAACATTCGTTTACAAAACGATTAGAGTCGACTAGAGAAAATGTTATAAAATTACTGAACCGGAGAAGTCTCCCTGACTGTCTTTGCATACTCGTGATTTGCACTGGCCATATCACACTCTTGACCCTCCAAGCGCAGATTTGAAAAAGTGTTGAGTACTCCCCACTTCAGAAACTCAAGGGAGAATGGTTACCAGCTCTAGAAAAGCGCGCGTTCACTCTTATAGTACACGTTCGTGAACATCTGAGCATTTGTACACAAAACAATCTGCACCTAATATTCAAGCCGGAAAGGCCTTTTCACATGTTGGTGTTAAAATCTGGAATGAGATACCTACTAATCTTAAAAGCTGACCCAAATACTCTTTTAAAAAAACGATTCAAAATTCTAGAATCTGAAGACTCCTATGTTGAAGTTGATGCGCTAATTAATAAAACGTAAAATTAGTTTTTAGTTTAGTTTGTAGCTTTCCTCTTGACAGTATTGTTCATATGCTCTTCTCCTTCGGCATTACGGTTGCAATTCATGTGTTAATTAGTATAATGAATAATTAACTTAAGTTCAGTTTATTGCTTTCCTCTTCGTATATTATATTTTGCTTTACTTGTTTTCGTTTGTTTGTTTGTTTGTTTAGCGTACATAAGTTGCACAAAATTTATGTTAATGTGTATTTTCTGTATTTTCAAAATTTATATCTATATAAGAAAGTTATCTCTGGCTTGCCGCGATTAGCTCTGGGCTATCTGCAAGCCAGCCTAATTATCCCTGTTAAATTGAAGTAGTTATGATTAGCCGACGGTATTCTAGCAACCATAAACCAAACATAAGTAACGCCTGTCCACCAAAATTATCCCAGAAATCGTTGCGTCGAAAGCTTGAAACCATTCTCCTTATAGTTTCTATAGTGGGAAATTAGAGAAGTCTAAACAGTTTAATTAAGAACTATAATTTACCTTTGGGAACAGCCAGGACCAGTAAGCAAGTAAAGCCACCTGCTATCATCATTGCTGAATGGGGAATGCGGCGACCAAATCTGTATTCATGCGGTGATATTAGAACAGTACATACATACATAAATACTTTATTGTCTCTATCTACGTAACACGGCTACTAATCTGACCCTTCTTAAACTGAAAAGATAGTTTCTAAAAAGAGCTTTAAATTCAGCGGTGCTATGCTTTGGAACCAGCTCTCGAATGAACCAAAACTCGCCGAGTCAATCTCTTCATTTAAGAAACTTAGTAGATTATAGTTGGGTCTTGCCAAGCTGTGTATCTTAATTAATTTGACTTTTTTTTTATTTTTAAAAAAAGAGTATTACCTACCCACATCTCCTCACCATAAGGGCTTTTCAGCAACAATCATTACATCATTTACAGTTAAACGATGGAAGGGTGTAAGACTTTTTTAACTGGAGGGAGATGGCTACTTGAAGGATGAATGAACCAACAGACAGAAAAAAATACCATTAGAAGAAAAAAAGAGAACGAGAAAAAAAATGAACGAAATATATAATGGAAAAGGAGAAAACAAAGGGAAGAATTAAAAAGGAAGGGAGAGTAAGGGTCACAGAAAAGAAGTGACCAAGGAAGGGAGAAATCAAGGGAGCAAACTAGTAGTTAAGGGGAATTAAAAATGTGAATATAAACGAAAGAAATAGCTTAGAAACTTTAGACAGATATAGAGGCGAATTTTTGAATAAATGGATCGATGAGAGAACCAGCTAGCAGATAGGTTGCCATATAAACAGTTTCGTGACTTACGCACTTATTTTCGCGATTAAGCAACTTACTTTTGAAGAAGAACCCAGCAGATGAGATGGGTTGGAATGTCCGAGAGGTACATCAGGAACAAGTTCAAGTAGGGACTGCCAGACAAGCGGCTTATGTACAGTAAGAAACCATAATAAACCATGCTGATAACCATCCTATGTGAAATGCAGATAAACACGTATTACTTACAACAACTTCTGTTTTTATAGAATATGAATATCTTGTTTCCCTAATAGTGCACAAAGAAATAGCGAACTTCAAACTGATTGTATATGAATTGCCCTAACTATAACTTTCTACTGTTGTTGATTAGCATATAATAAAACGGATAAGATTGGTGTGTGATGAGTTATTATGCGAGTCACGCGAATCTGCTTTGAAAAATGGTACTTATACTCGTACTCAATGTCTCAATCTCGCATTCTCAGTCCATTCTTAAAGTCCCTATTGATTAGAGAACCGCATTGGAATCATCACTTAATCAAGATATATCAGAGACACTATGCAATTTTGAACTTACCAGTTAAAGCAAAGAATGACGGTTCGTTTGCGCAAGCGCGGACTCCGAATCAGATCCAAGAATGACCTCCTACTGGAGCTGTCAGCTCTGGATTCTACCTCACTCTGGTGATATTCTGTAAGTTTTGTCATTATGGAATCTGAGTCCACGGATAACGAACTCTTGCTAGCGTACTTCATCAAAACTGCATGCGCCTGAGTCAGATGACCTTTAGCAGCTAACCATCGTGCAGATTCAGGAAAGACCCTGTGGAAGATATCCAGTTGTTTATAGTACTTATAGTAAGAGAGTAATAACGATATTTTAACCGTATTGTAATATAGGCCAATTACAGGTCACTCGAAAATTTGACCTTCACAATACCTTTAACCTGACTGAAATAAAGGTGCTGTGGAAAAGAAGATTGTATTGTCTTCACCTATTCCAGGTACGATTTCATAACTCGAACAAGTCTACATGCGGATCTGCTACCATTGAAGAGGGCTACTCACGTCTAATTCATAACAGCGCAAACCAATATAATGAGTTGGAACAAATACAAAGACTCCGTCGCATTTCGTCATGACTTGAAGAGCAAGGCTTCAAATCCAAATCTCCTTTTTTAAACAGGTTAAGTAAATGTCATGGTGCAACTATTCATAAATATATGACGCTATAATACGGACGTTAAGATCAGCAGTCCACGCAAAAAAAAAAATCATCTTATCCTTTGTTGATTTGTGTGGCTTATATCATCTTGCTAACATCAGTAACACACTACTTCTCTTTAACTGGATGCAACGCTAGTCTGTTATGTTTAGTTGACGTGTTCACCTAGTTCGTACAGATTACATTTCTTTTGTATCATTTTCCTTAATAGTATGTGAACCTCTCTACAACGGCCACCTTGGGGACATAAGAAAGTGGCCGTTCTAAAGAGATGGCTGTTGTGGTTTAAGGATGGATTATTTGTCCACAGGGACAAAAAAAGTGACTGTTGTAGAGAGGTGGTCGTTAGTGGAGGTTCAACTCAGTTTCTGTGAGTGCTCACTGATTGTGGGCACCCCTAAGAGGGCCTCGCTATAGATAAGTATATTTATATTTGTACATTTCATACAGCTTACGTATAAATAGAGAAGATAAGAAGGGGCGGGAAGCTACAAAGTATCAATAAAGTCCTCCAGTCCGGAATGAGGTAGCCAAGTAATGCAATCAGGCCAGCACCAATAGTCCAAAACAGGGACTGTATTTTGTCACATCGGGTCCTGTAGGTGGGACCAAAAAGTTCAAGAGCAAATACGTAATGAGCCACGAACAATCCGACGGCGAAGGCAGATGCGAAGAAACGGAGAAAGGCGAAGAATGACAGGCAGTCGACGAGTGCTGATCCAAGACTGAAAATGGCCTGAAAATTCCCAAATAAAATGCATAGAAAAGCAAACCAAGTTAACGGGTCTCTTAGTGTCAAATGTTGTGCATGCGCGCTCCATAATCATCAATAGCCCATTTTACAGTTGTGGGCTTAGTGTCCTACCCTTTGAATGAACGTGAGGCTAAGGTTGAGCTTGTTTTCATACAAACCGCTTCCTTTTTCTAATGTAAATTTTGCTTAAAAAATACTAGTTTATAGCATAAGAAAAAAATGATTTACATAATAAAGCAGAAAGGGTTGTATCAAAACAAGGAAAACTCCAGCCTCGTTTCCACCTGTAACTGTAAGGCTATTGGCGTTTTTTTTCTTTTTTTTGACTGAAAATTTCGCGTAATAATAATAATAACTTTATTAATCTCCTCAAAAAGGCTTTTCAGCTTAATTTACAATGTCAAATATCTAAAACTTAGTTTTCTAAAAATACCCTTAAACTAACTTCCGGAAACCTGAAGTACCAAAATTAAGTAATACTTAAGGTAAGCTTATTTCAAAGTCCTTTCAAAATGAAGAAGGGCCTGCACCCACATCTACAAAGGAGTGTATTCTAACAATTAGCTTCGATCTTGATAGAGAAACCACCTTGGCTAACCCCGTCTCTATCTACTGGGCCAAAAAGATTATCCTGGGGGGGATCTAGGATTTATTTTGAAGGTGTTACGTTCGGAAATTATCATTGAAAGGAGGAGAAAAGGGTTTCGGGGATATGCTCCCCAGGGATATTATTATTTATTAGCCCTCGGAGATGTGGTTTTTAGTATTCTAAAGGGGAAAAAAAAGTCTTTTACTTGCTGAAAAACTAGCGAATTTTCGCGTAGTGCACTATTCGCTAAGATTTTTCATATCTGCAAGTTTAAGACGTTCACAGTTTTAGCTGGGGGCTCGCTCCCCCCCCCCCCCTCCGAAATACCCCTTAAATCCGCCCCCCTTCTTTTTTTTTTTTTTTTTTCAACATACCAGAAATACGGCACATAGGTAAATACAAAATCTTCGTCCGAAGAAATCTGAAGTTGCTCCAAACACCAACGATCCGACAAGCATTCCCGCTGAATAGGCCGCCTGCACATTAGCCCCAGCAAAGGCTCGGTCACAAATAAGATTCCACTGTTAACAGGAAACAACCGCACGTGATTAGAAAGTGTTACTTAAGCCAACAACTTAGCCTCCCTTGCAGACGTTCTTTTGGTTCCTCACGCAATCCTGAACGCGTGACGAACCCCTAAGAACGTCTGGTACCAAAAACTGTGATGATCTCGTGTTTAACATTTCACTCGCAATTCAACTCTCCTCTATTGATTTTTAGGATTTCTTGGTTGAAAAATAGTGTTTTTCAGTCCAGTTCAAGGTACACGCATAATGTGATTATCTGGGAGGCAATTATTGTGGTGGCCATCGTGTTATCACCATTATGTGAAGGGAAACTAACGACTGACACGAGCAGCTGTTTCACTCTTTTTGTTCCATCATTCCCCTTTCGCACACCTTGCTTCACGCTCTCGCGCGTCTCATGCGTCTACTAAGCCTTGGTAAAGCCTGTGAAGGAGGCAGTTGAAAATTTAATAGAAAATTGAGGGGTCCTAGCATTTTTTTCGGGTAAAATGATTCTGTATCCATGTAAACCATTTTGAAATTGCATTATTCAAGCTACTTTAAGTGGGATGGTATGGCATTCCATGCTTTGACTCCAAAATTAGAGAAGGAAGATTTTTGTACTTCTAATCATGAGTGTCTAATGTAAAAGTTAGCAGGCAGTGACCTCGAGCTGCTGTACGAGTGTATATCTAATATTTCCTTAAAGAGGATTTTAAAATTTGCTGAAATATATTTTATTTCTTTGCTTTATGCATGAGATTGTAGAGGGAGTAAGCAAATAGGACACTTAAAGGTAAAATCTGGTTTTTGAAGAGCAGAAGAATAACACGATCTTTTCTACTAGGTGTAAAAAGAGCATTAATAGTGGAGTCAATTCATGAAGAATAAGAAGTCTCTGCCCCCAAGAGATTAGGCCATACTCAGTTAAATAAGGACCCATCAGAGACTTGAAAACTGGCCTGGGTACAGCCGCTCTATCCCCTCAAAAAAATCGCTGCACACAGCCTACTTGTAACCTTGGTAAAAATTTCCAAAAGGAACAAAAATGGCCCTGTAGTCTGCTTACTAATTTTTAATGCAGCACGATCAATGTGTTCTTTCCAGTATTAATTATTCTATGCACACGGGTTTAATGATGGCGACCAAGACAATATTTCAGTTGTGTCATGGAATCAGAAAACGAATTCCAGCTTAAGCCATTCTTCGTTGTCACATGGTGTATGCCACCTAATTCAGTTTAATTTCCCCATAGTAACATTCACATCGCTAAAAAATCTTATCGGGCAATTTGCATCCGATAATATTGAATTACTTCAGCATACTGAGGCGTCAATTTCGGATAGCACAACGCCTTGTTAACGCTCCATAGGGTGGAAGAGGGACTATGAAATTCCAGACACACTGATGGGGGGAGTGTTGAAAATTCTCCTTCGTCCCCAGTCGCAGGCGATCACTATTTTGGGGATTAATTATAAAGGAATGCAGGGGCAAAAGCAGTTATGAGAAGGGAAACTAACCACTGACACGAGTAGCTGTTTCTCTCTTTTTCCTTCCCATCATTCCCTGCTTGCGCTCTGCACTCGTTCCCATCATCCCTCTCTCGCACACCTCGCCTGTTTCACACTCTCGCGCGTCTCGCGCGTCTATTAAGCCTTGGGAAAGCCTGTGAAGGAGGCAGTTGAAAATTTAATTATAAAAACCGAGGGAAACCTAGGTCAATAATTCTGTATCTTTATACCCCACTGCATCCTTATTGAATGGACTTTCGCTTAACGTTAAATCATAAACAATGCTATTAATCATCAGTACACATGTATCATTACGCCTGTCCCGATTGTGTTCGGCAACTTTTAAACACCTTTTGGCGTTTGGAGCAATTCTTTGCTGTTCTAGCAACCTCAAGCAATTTTTTTTAGCAAAATATAGGTTTAGAGCACATATTAAGCACGAAAACGTCAAAGAATTCATAGGAAACTTCAATTTATGGGAATTTCTTAAATGTCAGTGATTGTCCTCTATGGTAAAGGTGCGAGCAAAGCAAGTTTCAAGCTATTTTTCTTGACCAATATTAGTAATTATTGATAAGAACGAAAGATAATTGTTTAACTTGACGTTTATACAAAAATATCTAGAAGGTTCGGCCGGCAACTTTAAAATTTAACAATCAACTTTTTAAATTTTTGGCGGGCAATTTTTTAGCTACTTTATGGCATTCTAGTCCGCAATTTTTTAGCATTTTACGAGCACAATCGGGACAGGCCTATGCATCATTGAATTATTATTACGATAACGCCTCTCACCTCACTAACACTGCTGGTAAAAGGACCATCAAAGACATATTCAGTGCAATTAGGACAACATTTGCTGTCCTCACATGTCACGTTAGGTGTCACGCAATGAAATCTTGGCGTTCCAGAAAAGAACACAATCCCAATGACTTGCAAGGTGGAGGGGATAATCACCAGAGAACAGGTAACAACATAAAGGAATACTTGCCAACGACCAAACGCGCTGATGGAAGTTAAAATTTCATCAAAATTCGCAGTCGTCTTTTTGGCTTGAGACATGGTGATGGTTTGATGCCTGTAAGAAAAGGATCGGATATAAGTTAGGCCAGTCAGGTGGCCACTGAAGATAGGACTTTACACTACAGGAGATTCAAATGGCTAGTAGTTAGCTTATCTAGGCGGGTATCGAGGGAAAAACAAACAAAGGAAAGAAAGACTTGCATTTGAACCAAATTATTTAACAAGCCATCAATACTACTGATTACGGATAATCGATTCCGTATCAAAATATTCATAAATATATGTAAAATATTCAGTTATATATGTTGAGGAAACAAAAATAAGGAACGAAATATTACTTACAGATGTTCAGTCCCTGAACAATAGTTAGTGGCTCAGGATATTTTGGGTCGTCTTTTAGTTAGATCTGCATGAGAATCATGATCTCATGCAGACGATTTTGAAATTGCATGATTCAAGTTGTTTGAAGTGGGGTGGTATGGCTTTCCAAGTTTGGCTCCAAAATTGAGAAGGAAGATTTTAATTTGTATTTCTAATCTCGGCCGGTCCAGTGTAAAAGTTAGCCGGCAGTCACCTCGAGCCGCTGTACCAGTGTATATCTGATATGTCTTTGAAAATTTGCTGGAATATATTTCATTTCTTGACTTTATGCATGAGGTTGCAGAAAGAGCCAAAAAATAGAAAACCTAAAGGTAAAATCTGGTGTTTGATGAAGAGCGGGTTAACGCGATCCTTTCTACCCGCTGTAAACAGAGCAGTAATGAAGGAGGCAATTTTTGAAGAATAAGAAGTTTCCTATCCCCAGAGAGCTTAGGCCATACTCATGTAGCCTGCGCAGCCATGGCGGTTTTGGTTGGGCGCGCAAAAGTAATAAACGCGAGCTTCCGACAAAACCAACATGCTACACAGGCTAAAACTTATTTAAATAAGGACTCATCAGAGACTTGTAAACTAGCCGCCATCCTCTCTCAAATTTAACAAAAAATCTCTGTACACAGGCTTCTGGTAAACTTGCTATAGATTTCGAAAAGGAACAAAAATGTCCTAACCAAACAATAACCCTTGTAGTCTGTATGCTAGATTTCAATACGGCACGATCAATGTGTTGTTTCCAATATTAATTATTCGATTCTATGCGATCGGATTTATTGATGGCGACCCAGACTTTTTTATGTTTAATTGTGTCATGGAATCAGAAAACGAATTCAAAGCTATTCTTTGTTGTCACGTGGTGAAGCCACCTAATATCACCATAGTAACATTCACATCGCTAAAAAATCTTATTGGCAATTTGCCTCCGATAATATTGAATTGTAATCAGCAAACTGAGGCGTCAATTTCGGATTGCATAACGCCTTGTTATGAATCCTATCTAATGGCTGGAATATTTAACAATTATTCCTCGAACCCGAATGGGCTCCGAGTCAATAGCTCATGAGGCCGAAGGCCGAATGGGCTATTGACTCAGAGACCATGAGGGCGAGAAGAATAATTGTTTTAGTAACATCCGACTAGTTGGTCAAAAATATCGAGAATAAAAAACTTTTAGTTTGTTAAAGCTAGACTTTAATCCTTTTTTGCCGCCAAAAAGCCCGCGCTTTTCGCTACTAGTGGGCTATAACATATAGCCTAGTAGTAGCTCAGCCAATCAGAACGCAGCATTGATAATAGACGACTGGTTGGATTTTACTAAAACCGGTTATGTAATATATGTTCTGCATCTGAGACAAATTCTCGCTTGTTTTCGGATATGATCGGGCCGGGTCAACCCCTCAACGTCGATCCAGGTTTTACTGACGCCTACGTATATGGTCTTTATGGTCTTCACCGACTGATTAACGACGCTACTCGTATCCCCCACATCCGTCACTGAGTCAAGAATTGCATACTCTAATGATAAGGTAGTCTGAAGAGGAGTAAGGAGAGCATGGGCTGGTTAAAATAATATGTAATGTGACTGAACAAAAAAAAAGGTACTTAATGCCTGACAGTCATGCTACTTAGTCACGTACATGTGCGCTCAAGACTTTGATTCGGATTATCCAGACATGGCGAAATTGAGAGTAATGAGTTCAAAGAATGGACCCAGCGTCCTGCAAGGTTGCATTAAGACTAGCTGTCCATTTTTACCGTATTTCTAACCATTAAAACGTCATCCCAAACTATCCCGATAACACTCTTACAGATTTCGCTTAAACTTCACAAACATCGTGGCGGCTGTTGGAGGAAAAAGTTCCGGTGAACGATTTTGGAAGAACAGTTCCCAGTGCCGAGAAATGCTGCTGCAAGTAAAATAGGTAATGGCGTCATTTTGTTGCTATGACAACTCCGATATCATTGCAACCCTGATCATAACAAATTTTCATCTTTATCTAATACAATAATGGTGGCCTTTTTCCAAATCTTTGTTTATGGCGACCTAGTTTGTGCTCAAACTTGGGAGGTATTGACCCCGAAAAACTGTATCGAGCCACCCTAAGATGTAGAAGTAGTTACAATTTGAATATGCTGATTACAACGATTTCTTTGAAAGCTAAATGTGACAGACGAACAATGAGGCGTTACAGTTTCCTTTAATAAGGTATACGGAATATTTCACTATCCGTGATACCGCCGCCTCTGAATTCCAGTTCAAGGTTAAGGAGGCGATGTATATAAAGGGGGAGAAACCTATTCTAAATCAACACGTGATATATACCGGTATGTGTTAATGACTAAGCGTGACGCCAAGTGGCCTAGATATTGACCAAGGCATAGTTCCCTTGCGGTTTGACGGTCTTTGATGGGCCGGAACGAGGTAGAGGTCCACAAAAACGGAAAAAAAGAGGAGGCCACTGCATGTCCAGTCATTTTACCAAACAAGCTTGGTCAGTAAGGTTTTATAATATCGTAAGAAAAATATCTCTTCTTGTGGGATAAAACGGGAAATCACGAGCCGGCAAGATAGGTTTATGTTGGCAAAGTTGGGTAGCCAATCAGAACGCAGGATTCGCTTCATTTTGCCCGCGAGCCATATAATAACAATGCTTCATAAAACAGAATGGTCAAGAGAAACAAGGACATGACCACACAAGATAAATCGCTTTCATATTTTAGCAACTGGGTGCCAGAGACTTTTCATGCATCTCTTAACTAAATTTAATTGTTGTCACATGGTGAAGGTCAACTAATCATGTTCCCCATAGTAACATTCACATCGCTAAAAAATCTTATTGGGCAATTTGCTTGCGATAATATTGAATTATAATAAGCATCTGGGGCGTCAATTTCGGATTGCATAACGCCTTGTTATGAATCCTATCTGATGGCTGGAATAAGACCAGTTATGCAATATCTGTTCTACATCTGAGACAAATTCTCGCTTGTTTTTAGACATGATCGGGCCGGATCGGATCAACCCCTCTTGTCCGACCAGGTTTACTGGTCTTCACCGAGTGATTAACGACGCTACGCGCATTCCTCGCATCCATCACTGAGGCAAGACCTACGCTAACTCTACTGATAAGGTAGTCTGAGTAGGACTGAGTATGGAGTGGATAGTCTCGTCCAAACAATAAGTAATGTGACTGAAAAAAAAAAGGTTCCTTATGTCTTTACGTACACGGGGGCTCAAGACTTTGATTTGGAGGCATGATCGAGACATGGTGACAGTGCAAGTAATTCGTTCAAAGAACCCACCCTGCTTCCGGCGGGATTGGGCTAAATTTAAAGAATCTGCAACGAAGTGAACAGTGATATAAGGATCGCAAAAACAATTATTGCTATATTCATCTCAATTTCTATAACTAATCCAACCAACCTTTTCAGATGAGTGAATCAACAACACTTTTCCACAACCCGCCCCAACCGCTTGTGAGATCCAGTCGTTAACAAGTGTTAAGGTCCTTATTAAAATACATTAATGTCTCAACATTACTTAAAATTCTTCATTCTAACGTGACTGGATAATAATCAAGTGTTTTGACGAACAACTTAGCCAATCAAATACAAATGGTCTGCAAGACTCTTCCAGAATACCGCTTATCTATTAAATTTGCAATTTCATCACAATGTCAATATGGCTTCGTTTAAGTAATAATTAGTGTTTTTCATTAGGGCGGTTGTCCTAATAGCACAACACGATATGAATAATACGCTACAAAGCAAAAAAAAGAAACAAAGAAAGAACAAAGGAGCCCATCCACAAAAGTCTTATTGGGAGCAGTGTGTAATGTATGAACCTATTGTTCAAACAGAAGACGCGTAAAGCCGCGTGAAGATGCTTCAGAAATCACGCACAAAATTTTAGAGCTGCTTAAACTGTTCAGTTACTGAAAACAAAGAAGGAAAACAATAGTCGAGGAGAAAACTAACTTAAGACGATAGTGAGTGATAGTGAAGCATTCCAAGCAGTGTGGATAGATAACCGTCTTGGTCCGTCAAACAAATCTACATATCTCATTTGTAGAGTCTAGACAGGCAACACAACTTCCCAAAAGTTTTCAAAATTATCTTGATGACTGCTGCGTAAAAATTGTAACCAAAACCTAAACCAGGTTCCCAGAATTGGGTGATTTTGATATTCACGGAAAAGTCTCCGTTCAGTCACGAGTAGTCTGCGTAGCAAGCCTTTCTGTGTGGCTTCGAAGCAATTACTCGCCCTGTTTTTTGGTGCGGTCTTTGACTCTCGTTCCTCGTTCTTTGCACCGAAACCACACGGAAACGCTTTCACTACGCAGGCTAGCCACGAGCTCCTTCTGTCTCTAAAAAAAGCTGTCATCTTCAGGACTCCTACCTTTGACAAGCCAAGCAGCTGAGTACACAACAACTCCGCCACTTTAGTTGATACTATTTTTTGTAATCCAGATCAATCTTTAGTCAACCAATATCTGAGGACCTGTCGAAACGTCGAATTTCAAATGTGCCGAACTTAATTTTATATTCCTATTTTAGTCGAATAAAATAGTTACATATATGAGGGTATATCTATGACAAAATTCAATAACCTAAAAGTGAAAAGGGTTAAGTCAAATCTGAAATATACCGAGTCAAAGTTGGTAAAAAAAAAAAAAACCACGTTAAAAGGAAGAAATACTAAAAAGCCACTATCATATAGGTATCACGCAGAAAAAGGCATCACGCTAAAAGGCAACACGTAAAGAGGCATCACGCAAAGATCCAACACGCAAAAAGGCATCACGCATCTTACCCTTTGAGTTTCCTATATGTTGAATCAATATGCAACCTTGTGTGTAAAGTCAAAATTTGAATAATATAACGGACTGATACACTCGTACAGAACCAGGTCAGCCGTCAACGGTAACCGTTTTACAATACAGGATAAGAACTGAAAAAACTTTTATTCTCTAATTTTAAAGCCATAGTAATCCACTTAAAACAGCTTAAATACAACAATTTTTAGAAAAATGATTGCATGAGATTCTCCTGCAGATCTTGACGCACTGTATCTTGTCGAAACTTGAACCATCTGCTATTCTCCACCAACCTCTTTAGAAACTTTTTATTTCCTCCACATTAATGCCAGTCAGGCTTAAAGATCGAATTGATGATGGTGACTATAATAATGCTGATGATGGCAATAATGATGATGATGAATTTGATGATGATGGTGATGATGACGATAATGATGCTGCTGCTGATGATGATGATAATAAGGATGATTATGATGATAATGATGCTGCTGCTGCTGCTGACGATGATGATGTAACCTGTGCCAGGCTCTCAGATAGTATAGTGGGAACGTATTAAAACGAGCAAAGCGAAAGTAAGACGCGCACGACTTCTGAAAGGGAGGCATTTATTACTGAACGACTTTCCACCACCACCTCGGAGCCTCGAACAGGCTATTGATGATGATAATGATGATAATGACGATGATGATGATTGATGATAATGATGATGATGATGATGATGATGATGATGAATGGTGATGACGATACTGATGATCACGTTCATAATAATGAGCCTTTTTTAATGTGTCAATCAAGAAATTAATACATATATTACAGAGGACACACGTAAAAAAGGCTACTAAATCGAAACACAGATCAACCTCGTTCCCAGGGTCCTCTCCTGCCCGTCCCTATGAAGCGAGAGACCATGGGAACGAGGTTGAACAGAGACCAGTCTAAAAAAGACAGAATCCATAAGGAAATTAAGAAATTTTAATTTTCAGTTGACAAAACCCTTGTATCAGAATAATTTCACTCATACAGTCGAACCTGCATTAAGCAGTCACCCTCGAGGAATGGCTAAGTCACCGCTTAATCCCGGGGGGAACTCCGCACAAGAAAGGGGTGGGGATGCTCGTCGGAAATTTCGAACCAAGCCTAAAGGAGACGGACTGGGCGTGGCCCACCTTTTTTTGACTCCTAAAAGAGACGATGTTAAGACACAGACAAATGAAAAATACAGTGACTTTTAATGATGGCAGACATTATCATAGAACACTTTTACCATAAGTAGTTTTTAAAGGCATCGTCATAAATCTTCAGTTCATCATGTTCGCTTATTACGTCTTTGGCACAAGAATCAAATAACACTCTTGTGAATATTTTTAGCCAAGTTTCGTATTACACTCTTGTAAAACAATGGACAAAAACGTCTTCTTTAAGTATTGATGTTATAGAAAACTTGGATTATATGAATAAAACGATTTAAAAATATACATATCAAATATATATTTTAAATTATATTTTTTCGCGTGCAACCCTAAACGAGACCTTCACGGCTAAATTTGATGGCGTTTTGCCCAGAACATGACACCCTAAAGTGAGACCAAAATCCGGAATTTACACTCTAAGCGAGACGACGAGCATCCCCACCCCTTTCATATGCGGAGTCCCCCCCTGCGCTTTATACAGGGTGACCTCTTAATACAGGTAGCAAGAAATACAATTCGACGAATTCGATCTCCAGCAGACGACTAGTGCTGATCAGATCAGACGTTTGACCTCAATTAGCAACATTCATTTCCGGACGAATGACGAAAATAAACAAGGAAATCAATTGTTGTACCTCGTGTGTTACATTATTTGAAACTGACACCGTGTGACTGTTGGGTGTTCGCAAATGGTGACCGCTTAATTGACGTCGAAACCCGGGGGGGGGGGGTACTCCCATACATTACCTATACGGGTATGTGCCGCCCAACGCGGTCGTGATTTTGAAGCTCCTGATTAAGAACGGGGTATCCATTTCAGAGGCGTTTTCTAGAACGAGGTATAAAAAATTGTGGATCACGGCTTTATCCTCTGCTTAAAATTGTTGCTGATTATGAAGAAGCATTTATTTGATGTATAAGTCGAACAAATAAAGAAATAGCTTTTTAAAAAAACAGGGCTATTTCAATTTACAAACTTTCTAGAACGCAATATAAAAAATGGGCCCATTTCTAGAACGGGGTATCAGTTTTAGGGCGAGTTCTGGAACGGGGTATAAAAAATTGGCCCATTTCTAGAACGGGGTATCAATTTCAGGGGAATTGTTTTTAGAACGGGGTGCCAATTTGGAGTCCCGGGCGGCACATACGTACCCAAAGAATACCCAAGTGTCCCCCCCCCCCCGGGGTCGAAATAACAGTAGATCAATTCACAAGGGAAGCAATTTTCGGGACTTTAAAAAACCGACCGCTTAATAGACGGTGACCGCTTAATACGGGTTCGACTGTATCGCATTCCTTGACGTTTCCTTGTAATAAGTTACATGAAATAACTCTAAAGAAAAGGTTTTTGTGGGAGCCCGAGAAAACAAACTTCCAAAGCTTCAAATTTCACAAAATGAAATCTTACACATGAAGATTTTCACCTGTGTTTTCTCAATTCAAGTGAAATTTGAAATTTTTTTCTCGGGCTTTCATAAGAAATTGTCCGGTGTTATTACAGATAACTGATTACATCTATAGCCCTTAAAAAGTGTAAATAAGAATGCGATAAGGCCTAAAATATTCTGGTACAAGATTTTTGTCCACTGTAGTGTACGGCCGCCCTCTCCCGACAACAAAAACTCGGCAATGGGGGAGGGGGTGATATACACTGGCGACTTGTCTCTTGTGTCGGTCTGCAGGTCTCCGACGTGAATCCGAGAGACGTCTGGCCCAACAAAAGCAAACTAAAACAATATCTTTCCAGGTAGGAATCACCGCAGTAGCAAGCTAGGTCTATTTGTTGTTTCAGGTAAGGACAATGCTTTATGATTCTGTTCTCGTTAAGCTGATCGTCACATTAAAATACGGCAAATTCAACGTCCCGTACACATAGTCTGACTGCCTCTTCCGGCCCTTGTATAATTTAAAAATAGCGCAACCTATGCAGTGAGTCAATTTTCGTCTTTAAGGGGCCACTGGGCATTTTGGGGGGCTACCATAATTGTATGTTAACTCGGAATTTGAGCGAGCGATTTGAATACAAATCATGAAACAACGTGTACGACCTTAATTCATGGCGAATGAGTGTAAACATGTCGTGACTAGCTCTTATTTCGAAATCATCACGTGAATGTTACCTTTTAATATTTCTCCGATCGTTTTAATTACGCAAATTCAGGTCTCCTAACTTCTTATTTGTGTCATAAAGTCTTCTACCCGACTCAGTTTCACTCTTGTACATGCAATTTCACAGATTAAAAAAGAGAGGAGCATCTTCAGTTTTTATTAAGAGTTAATTGAAGGTCTTCCACCCTTGACGATCAAGGGAACAATTCGGGGACACCTGACGCGTGTCTGACATTTTTACTGCAGACCTGATAACCTTGATCAGTGTACTTGTAAGAGACAAATTCGCAAAGGGCGCGCCACAAATACATGTAGCTGGCTGCGAGACCATCGTCACCATTGAATAAAGCTCCGGAGGAATATAATTTTTGAAAGACTACTTGATAGTTTACTGTGTCGTTGAGAAAGGACTCGCGACTGTAACTTTTCATACGGTTAAATCAAGGAATAGAAGGAGTATTTCAGCCCCCCTCACTAAAAACAAAAACAAAACAAAGACCTACAAGCTTGCTTACTAGCTTATCACAAAGATAGATTCAGTCAGGCGTAACAGAGTTCACTTTGTGTGGGTCTCATTAAATAAAATGCAAATTTAAAAAGTACACAGACTGAATTAATTGATGTGATTGACAATATCCTTACAATCAGGGTGTTTTGTTTACACAATTCTGATTGTCGTGAATTTTGTTTTTCACACCCCCCATTACACCCACGCTAAGTCCAACAGGGACTGAACGGTTTTTTTCTGCCTGTGGATCCAATATTTCTGGAAACAAAAACAAAATTTATGTGACTGGGGAGCCCAGGTTTCGTAAGCCCTCTGGTTGCTTCTGGGCTCCCTTGCCGACTTACAATTCTTATATAATTTATTCTTGCATTGTAATTTACTTTGCCTAAATAAAACTGAACTTAATGATGCTAAAACGTGAGAATTTGTTCTCAAATTGATCGTCTATAAGCCCACACACTCCTTTCTCCGGATAATGGCTAACTCTATTCTCTGCACGCGTCTTCTCCAGTTCGCGCGTGTCTCATGTTCCTCGCTCGCTTCACGCTTGCAAGTTCGTTCGCCTCAGAAAACACGAAAAACTAACACGTGCGGCGAATGAAATTTTTTCTGTGAGGCATCAATTTAATATTGGGAAACTGGACTGAATTACCTCGGTCTGTCAGGCAACCCAAAGGTCAGAAATGATCAGCAATGGTTATTCTATTCCCCCAGTCTAACCGCGCGTAAAAAAATCTTTTAAAGTGGCTGAACACCGTTTGATAGGTTGTGGATCGTCACCATGCATTGGGGTATTATTTAACACTCGTATCAGGTATAAAGCTGAAATTTGTAGCGGACAAAATATATTTATAAAACATGACCTTAATTAGGTTAAAAGTTAGATTAGGATCGTTGTCATGGTAGCAAGGATGATGGAAAACAAGCCTAAACTTTTGAATTTATTAGGCTTAGGCAAAATCCAGTCATTAGATTTTCTCATATATTTGCACGTAGCTTACAATAGTAAACCTAATTTTTTAAAAACAACCTAACAAAATTGTAGCAAGCAGTTTTTGAAATTTTTGAAAGAAATAGCTTTTACGAGAGACTCAATTGTGTTACAAAACTCCTTAGTTTAACACATATTTTGAGGCTTTCATTGACTGAAGTGTGATCTGAGCAAATTCTACCTAATTTTGTCAAATTTTAATGTGTAGGTTTGAAGATGTTGTCGTTTGTTTACATTGCTTATGAAAGTCAACAAGACAAACACTCTCACGTTGCTTGTAAGTACGCATGATCAGCACTGGCACGTTCTAAAATCAGGTTATGTCTCAAAGGAGACGAACATAGAATAAATTTCTCCTCTCTGGGCCCAGTTGTTCGAAGGCCGATTAGCGCTAACCAAGGGTTAAATTTTAACCCGGACTGCTTATCTCCTCATGATAAAGATGTTAACATGCACAGTAAAGGGATAACCTTAATCAGCACAGACATGTCCTAGGAATTTTCCTCTTAAAGTCCAAAAGGCGACTTTTTAAGAACAGTCCTTGCTAAAGGAACTATCAATCAAGCAATGTGATGGAACTTAGCTTTGATCCCTGCTCCCAATGCAAGGATGTAATGCTATGAGAATGAATGAATGAATAATGATCATCATCATCATCATCATCATTGTCATAATATCAATAATAACAACAATGACAAAAATAATAACAACAATAATAAAGATAATAATAATAACAGGATATAATAGTGACAATAACATACCTAAAACAAAAACATGTTGGGTTTGAAGCGAGTTCACGTAAACTGGTGTCCTTTTAAGTCGAGGGAATCCGACTTTTTAAAAAAAACTCCTTGCTTAAGGAACTATCAATCAAGCCCCGCAATGTGAGAGAACTTAGCTTGGATCCCCGTTCCCAATGCAAGGAAGTAATGCTACAAGAATGAATGAATGAATGAATGAATGAATGAATGAATGAATGAATGAATGAATAATTATCATCATCATCATCATCATCATCATCATCATCATGTCAATAATAACAACAACAATGATAATAATAATAAAAATAACAATAATAATGATAATAGTAATAATAGGATATAATAGTGACAATAACGTACCTAAAACAAAAACATGTTGGGTTTAAAGCGAGTTCGCGTAAACTGGTGTCCTATTAAGTCGAGGAAACCTGATAATTAACTACTTTGAATAACAACAAATTGAAATCGTGCTTAATTATTAGAGGAACTTTTAGAAAACAATCCAACAGTAGTGCGTGAGCGTGTGTGTTTACTTTAATTGCGTGACACGTCTTTCATTCCCCTCATGTGTTTACTTGGGGAAATGTCGTCTGAAACACACTCCGTGTCTTACAAAATTATTACGTTAAATTCGAAAATACTAGGAAGTGGAGGCTAAGCAGTTGCCTTTATATTTTCCATATTGTCCAACATATGAAGACTTTTATGCAGACTTTCGGACGTTTGCGGTGAAGAAAATTGAGTGACATTTGTGCTTCCTTTGCTTCACTTCCTGGTTGAGTCGATTTTCGTCTTCCTCGTAAGACAGCTTGCAAACTCGAAATTCAACGACGAAATACACCGTCTTCAATATGGAACGGAACAATTTTAACAGCAAACGAATGAATGTATTATTCGTGATAAGATTCGACATGCTTTACCCTCACTTTGTCGCTCCAAATTAAAGTTATCAAGTTACGAACTTTCTGGAGTTGTTACCATAAATGATCGAGTCGATCGAGAAGGCGCTAAAAAAAAGTCTGAAACCTGTAGGCTGCAATTAATATTGTCGTACCTCAATGCTGTAAGTTGTGTTCCTCCTGCTTCTCCAACCGCTATGACGCAGAAAATAATTAGAAAGGTTACGAGTTTTAGGCTTTTCTAAGCCAAAACAAAGTGCACATCGAGCGTGAAAAGATCAGTCGCACGTGTTTGTGTTTGTGCATGCGCGTCTTGCTTTGTTCTGTTTTGGCGCGAATTTTGTGTTCGCGTTCCTCGCTCAAGGAGTCAAGGAAGAAAACATGTTTCGGAATGCGGAAACTGACATTTTCTTATTGTAATTGTAGAGAAGTATAAAAAAGTTTTTGGGGACGCTTTGTTTCCTGAACGCAAATTAATCAAGTTAAAATTATTTCACAGACGCAAAGTTTAAAAATTTTGCAACAGTGTTTCCCTTGCCATTACAGAGTTTCGTTTTCCTTCACTCGAACGACCCCGTGATCCTTTTTTGAAAAATGATATCAAAAATTTCTTTTAACTACTACAAGAGCAAAAACCTTTTCTTCTGTCAAAACAGACGTCGTTCACCACAACGTTTTCCTTTTATTAGCAGGACTCTTCTCCAGGTATCCGTTTAAGGCCCGTCAGTAGAAAAACCCTCGACTAAGAACCGGGTTTTTAAGAACCTGTTAGGCTAAAATTTTCCTGTTGGGTCCCTCTATACAAGAACCTGCTCAACCTAAAATTTGAAACCGGTTCTTTTTTCTAAAATCTATCTTTAAAAAAATTGTTTGTGCACTTGGCCGAATAAGATAAGTCAAGATTCAGGATCCTCTTTGGAGACATAGGTACCTTATGACTCCAACTGAAGTTGTTATGGTATACAGGTCTTACCTAAGGAATGAGCTGAATACCACTAAATACTCTTAGGTACAAGGTATTGGTATTTCTTCTTCAGATAATAAGAACCTATTTAAGAACCTAAATAGCCTAAATTTGTGCTAATTACCATTTCAGTAAGAAGCTGTTTGGGCTAAATTGGGAAAATGCAGGTTCTGAGGTCGCAACCTCGTTTAGTTCGAAGGGTTCTCTCCTACCTGTCCCTACGGAGCGAGAGAACCTGGAAACGAGGTTGTTTGATTCGTGGATTCTAATATCAATTCAACAAATTATTTAACACTTTTCTCTACAGTTTTCTTAACAACAGAAGAAGCGATGGCAGAAAATGATGCAATGACAGCAGACACAGGAGCCAGGAGTTTAGTTCCAGATGAGGAGGACGACAAAATCACACCAGATGAGCGAAAAAAAGAAAAGCGAAAGATCACTAAGAATGTTTTCGTAATCAGCTTTGGCTTCCTCTTTCTTTTCACTGCGTTCCAGTCCCTTCAAAATTTACAGAGCAGCTTAAACAAGGATGAGGGTCTGGGTCTAGCATCGCTGTGCGTGATTTATGCAGCCCTGATTTTATCGTGTATTTTTGTTCCCCCCTTTGTGATTGGAAGACTTGGTTGCAAGTGGACTCTGGTGCTTTCTATGACGGGATATGTGTTGTACACAGTATCCAATTACTACGCTCGTTGGGGAACGCTTATACCTGCGTCTATAATCATTGGTGGGTTCACGGTGATAGTAAACGGTTGTTTTGTTTTGTTTCTTTTTAGGTGTGTTCTGTAAGTTAAATAATTGTCTCTTTTTAACAAGTTCCACTTATACTCTTATCCAATAAACACCCTCTCACAATCGTTATAAAACTGATAGACGCCAAAGGCTATTACAAGGGTCACTTACCGTCTCGGGTTGGGAGAGGGGAGCGGGGTGATAGGGGGTTCAAACCTCCCGCCTCCCGTACCTAGCATTCCTGGTCCCCCCTTTTTTCTTGGATTCCTCCGTTTTTAGGACTATGGCGCTTGTGAAATATTAAGCATTATTGGGTAAATTCCCCCTAATTCTCCCGTTTCCCACCCTTTCCTCCTTTTTCTGGGAAAAATAATGAAATCGTTGTTATTGTTGTTGCTGCTGACAGTATTACGGCTATAAAGGGAAACTATCAGTTCGAGACCTTAGTATGTAACCGTATATCAGAGCGTGACTGCTGAAGACAGTTTGACTGTGTATTCTCCTCTTTTTTTTTTCTTTTTCAGGTATGTGTGCGGCACCCCTTTGGTCTTCAAAATGCGCCTATCTTACCACAACAGGTATTCGATACTCGCAGCTGAGCCGTGAAACCCAAGACGCCGTGGTAACGCGTTACTTTGGCATCTTTTTCCTGATCTTCCAGAGTGGTCAGATCTGGGGCAACCTAATCTCATCGCTTGTCCTCCAACAGGGCATGGAGGACAAGTTCCGGGATAACGCTGGTGATGTTTGCGGGGCAAATTTCTGTAAGCATCCTCCTGCCCTGAGTAACACCACAGGAGAGTACAACCGTAGCTTGGTTATCAATCTTTTGAGTATTTACGTGGGGATCGGGGTATTCGCCGTGTTATTTGTTATCGTTTTACTCGATCGCCTCACTGGGGACCTGGACCGAAGGAAGGAACAAGAGTCCAGTATAAGTCTGCTGATCGCCACTATCAAGCACTTGAAAGACAAGCGCATGTTGCTGGTGTTACCGCTGACCATGTTCAGTGGGCTTGAACAGGCCTTTACCTTTGGGGATTTTACTTCGGTATGTTACTTGAATTTGATTATATCAATATTTTTATGATATCTAAAATATAGTGTTCTTTCTTTGAGCTTGTCCGGGAAATTTGGTAAATCGTGAGCTCGATGCAATTATTTATTGAAGGATTTAATGTCTTCAAAATCAACCGTGGAATTTTAGGCATCCTACTGATGAACGGGTTTCGACAGTTAGATATTTAATTTACTGACAAAAATATCGCTTACAGACTGTCTCCTCTGAATTATATATTAGTATTATTTATTACAATGACAATAAATACTCAAGAAAAAGCTATAACAAAAGATTGTAAATAAACTGTCCTGGAGTTAAAAATGCAACCACTGGCCAAGGATAATGATGTGCAGTTTGTACTGTGTAAAGAGATACTACTTTCAGTCAGTAAAGGATTCATCAATTAGTGTTACATTTGTTTAAGTGGTTAAGGTGTGGTTACAATTGGCCATTTTCGAGTTACCACCAAGCCTCTGTTTTAAAGCGAGGCTTAGTGCAAAGCCATTGACACGAAAATTATTTTACATCATCATGCAAATGAAACTCATTATCACAAGAAAAGTTTTACAATTAGCTTCGTTTTGAAAGTGGACCTTTTTCGAACTCGGAAATGAAAGCGCAATGTCATCTGTATTTTAAAGCCTTTCCACAGCTGCAAGCGCCAACTAATGAGAATACACTTATAGTTATAGTGTAAAAAACAAAAAAAAAAAAACAGCTAAAAGGTTTTGTTTTATTTATTTTTTTATTCAGGCGTTCGTGACGTGCTCACTGGGTATCCATCGTGTTGGCTTCGTTATGATTTGCTTCGGTGCAACAGACGCGTTTTTCTCGCTGACGCTTGGCCGCCTGACCAAATACACGGGAAGAATTCCTGTATTCATCAGCGGAGCGGTGATTCATTACGCTGTCATTATCATCATGCTGATTTGGCGGCCTGACTACAATCTGATATGGGTGTTTTATATAGTCGCTGCCCTACTGGGATACTGTGATGCTGTCTGGCAGACACAGATTAATGGTAAGACTTAGTTCTGTTGCTTTGACTGCAATGTTACTAATGGCCCCGTAGAAGAGATAAGGAGACTGGTGCCGAAATGTGTCCCGCAATTATTTCTGGGATAGTTAGACCTAGTTACAGTCCCAAAATTCTTTGCGAAAGTTAACTCGGCCCAGTTCCCTTTTCATTTCTAAAGTGGCGTATCAAAATACCTATAGATGCCATGTACAGTCCGGAACAATGGTAAGAGCTGGTATCACTGTTAAGTTAGTCCCGTGTTTATCCTTCTGCGGTAAGACCTTGCGATGTTGCCAAGCTACCAAGTTGTTATAGCTACCGTGTATCCCTCAGATTTATATTAAGACCAAGTCCTTGTACTGTGCTTTTATCAAATCATCTGTCTACTTTGCATCAGTAAATTTTATTCTCACAACATAAATACTTAGTAGTTGGAATGGACACACTACTATAGTTGCATACTTCTTGGGGACATAATAGAAATAGATACACGAATTTTATTATTTTGCCAAGCTTTAAACAGGCCTTGAACAAAATGGGAACAAGTCCGTTGGCGACAATTGATATCATTTTACGTTTTATTTCTGATTAAAAATTTAATTATTCAGTTTTCTTAGGTCAAAAACAAACTAAAAATATGATAAAGCTTTTCAGGGCTACACTCACCCGGACAATTCCACCTATTTATGAAATGACTCCTCAGTTCAAAATATTTACTCTAAAGATAAACTGTTGCCGCCCAACGTGGGGCTCGAACCCACGACCCTGAGATTAAGAGTCTCATGCTCTACCGACTGAGCTAGCCGGGCGCGATGAGTTTGTATGCAAATCAAATTCCACTATGGGCTGTTTACTAAACATTTTTGTGACTCCGTTGGTAAATTAATAACTGCATTAGAGAGATTATGATTCACGTTTACGCCAAACGGCAAACATGGATTTGTACCACATGACCAAGTTTTCCCCTTAATTGTCGTTTACTGTTTATTACATCTACACAAAAAATAAGTAGTTTCACGCCGGTTTTATCCATAAGAATTGTTCAGGACAGTTTTCATCTGCTTATTTTCTATTCTGAGAAATTCTCAACTTGAATCTGACGTTTGCCGTTTGCCGTAAACGTGAGTCTTAATCTCTCTATTAATTGCGGTGAGCCATTTTAAGATTGCGCTAAGGACTGGATCAGAGTTGGGCTGAATTAAATTGTGGGACTGTTTTGGAGAACTGACGAATGAAAACAAACAGCCAATAAACGAAGAGCTAGCGTCCGGGAAACAGTCCCATAATGCAATTCCACACAACTCTTGCCCAGTTTCATGCGCAGCCTCAAATTGACAGATAACTCTACTAAAAAGGAGACGGTTAAAATGGACCTGAAAAAAAAAAAATCGAGCTTCATGGAAGATAAGGTTCTATATAAAGTTTATAAACTTACACAGATTTTCTTTCCGGTTTTAGATATGATAAATTTATATACATCCTGCCTTTGTAACTTCCTGTTTCTGTTTTGTGTTGTAAAAAAATACATAAAAACAAAGCGCCCAACGTGGGGCTCGAACCCACGACCCTGAGATTAAGAGTCTCATGCTCTACCGACTGAGCTAGCCGGGCGAGATGTGTTTGACTAACATTACAGCAAGGAGCTCAAAAGTTTGACCTCATTTAATGAATTCATATTCTTTCATGCAGACATTAACCAATCAGAAGTAGTGAACAGCGTCCAGTTGGCTTCTGATTGGATTAAATTTGCACGAAAGAATGTGCTGCGTTCACACTATACCGGATAGCTTTTCTTGCCAACGCTAAAAGCTACCTGGTATACAATGAACACCTATCCGATATGTTACTGTCCACTTTAGAGATGGGCACGGCGCAGCTTCGCTCCGGTACAAAAATTGCGCCGAAATCAACTCTCTTATACAGCTATTTCAAGAAAGGTTGTCGGAAAAAGTGCACGCGACAATCCCAAAAGGTATTGTGGGTGATCTTGAGTTCACTGTTTTTCAAAGAAATTTCAAAGGATGGCACGAGAAACCATGGACGTATGTTTGCGAGTGCTAAAGGAAAGCAACAAAGTTAGATTCGGCAGCTACAGTGTCAGGAAAAGTGCATTGATCATATCCCATATTACCTTTCGGGATTGTCGCGTGCACAGTTCTTCGGACAACCTTTCTCGAAATAGCTGTATGTGAACAGAAATCCGGCCTATCGGGTATCGTTTTCGTCCGGGTGCGAAAGCTACCCGGTATAGAGTGAACATGGCTTTTAATTCGTCTATTTGAGTCGCAGTAACCAACTCTTTTGTGGGGGGAGATGTACGTCTTACAGAGTTGTCTGTTAACCTTTTCACTCCCAAAGAGTCCAAAGTCAAATCAACAATATTTCATTTTGTTAAATACTGAATGAAACAAATTGTACTACGTAAAAGTGCTGTCAAAGAGCCTTCATTTAAATGGTCTCACCTTGAGATTTTGTCCACAGACTCAAAAGTTAGAACCACAAGACTGCATTATTCACTCTGAGTAAAAGCGTTAAAACAGAGTTGACTGGCTATATAATCAAACGAGCTGAAAGCGCGAATAAACTGCGGTGGCCAGTGGCGTAATTCCTTTTTTTTCTCCCTGTTCTTTTGTTCTCTTTTCGCAGCTATGTACGGCGTGTTTTTCCACGACAACCAAGAACCTGCCTTCTCAAACTATCGTCTCTGGGAATCTCTTGGCTTTGTGTTGGCTTTTGCTTATGCTAACTTTCTGTGCATCAGGGTTAAGCTTATAATTCTGCTTCTGGTGTTGACCATCAGCATGATTGGTTACATCCTCGCTGAGTACATTCACAGAAAGCAAGTGGATCAAGAATACTCGGTTGCAATGGAGAGCGTGGCTTTAAAAGAAACCAAAAATAACTCGGGTTGAAGCAATAAACGCATGTTTTGGGGTGGATTGATCATTCTAACTGTCTTAGACTGACCGAAATCCTCCTTCTCTAACTAATCAGTGGTCTGGTGAACAAAAAGGTTATAAGAGTAGTGAATAAAGTAAGGTCATTAGAGTGATTTTACTTAACCCTTGAAACAGGTAGTAGAATACTACGCATTATTATGCACTAATTCTACTGGCTAGTTTTGTTTGCCTCTTGCTATTTTGCACTGTATGTTAGTATCAGACTGTTTCACGGTTCAAGTTAAATCACTCTACAGACAAAAGATAGCGAAGAAATTCTCCGTAATGCAACCAGAACGAATGTAAGTTAAGCAATCTGGGGTTTAAGGCCAGAAAAACGTTGATATCGTTCGTAACCGACGTCCGTGTTGTGATTTTCATATTTCAAATCGAAAAAAGCCAGCTTTGCTTCGTCCTTTTCCATTAAAGCGGCCTCCTAATAAGAGAACGAGTTGTAAGGTCTCATATGAGGCAACTGTGAGTGCTTCAAAACTGAAATAAAAAAAATTAGGGCCGGTTTCATGGAAAGAATCCCGGCTGGGACTTATAGTTATCAGTCCACAAAAATCTGGAATGATTTTGGAACAAAGAGGGAGCCCTATCCCCTGACAATAATGTCTTTCAGATGTGAATCTTATCGCATGAATGATCTTATAATAAAATCAGAATGACAAAATGTTTTGTATGAGTAATATTATTTAAGTAAGTCGATGGGAAACATATCAATTCAAACGCAAACTTTACTTGACATTTCGCGACGCCACCACTGGTTTCTCCGCGAAATGACGTCTGAGAAACGAGCGCAGAAATTCCATACTGATGACGCGTCACTACCCAGATCTGTGTAGTGCTTCTGATTGGTTGAAAAACATTTCACTAGCGGCACGACCAATCAGAAACACCACCCATGCAGATCTAAGTCGTGACGCGTCATCAGTATGGAATTTCTGCGCTCGTTCCTCAGACGTCATTTCGCGGAGAAACCAGTCGTGGCGTCGCGAAATGTCGTCTGTTTTCTCAGGCTAGTAAATCCATAGCCTCGCTCAGATTTGTCTCTTGTAGAGATTTCATTCTAATTTTCCGACAAGCATACCCTTTTCTTTTGTATGGGAGTTCCCTTCCCCATGTAGGGGACTATACCTAACCCTTGTCGATGCTAAAGCATTTTAAGAAAAACCAACAACATTCAGGTATTACAGGTTTGTAACTAGAATTTACAAAGATCAACTCTGAACATAAAGTAAAACCATGAGGTACAAGACTAAAATATATTGGTTTGATAAATGTTTAAAAATGTAAATGGCAATGCCAGGTTTTCATTAAGGTAAAAAAAATTCCGTTTATGTTAAATTAACAAAGCAGCTGTTATTTCATTTCCGTTTTAAATGTTCTGGTTCCGGCTCAAAATCGCTTTAAAGAACAATTGTAAAAACTGTCGAACATAGGAGTCATGGGTGGCATCCCCTAGTTAAACCCCTCCTCTCTCTCTCCCTCCTATGAAGGGATAGTGCGACTAATTTTTTATAGCCTTTGACTGGTCTCTGAGAATCAGGACCAATGAAAAAGACCATTGTCATTAGATCTACGGTAAATATGAGTACATGGTTTGAGTAAAACATTTTAAGCTTGTTATTGTTTATGTTACGCTATAATTCTATAAACTCGTAGTCGTGATCGTCAAAATCTTCGGGTTCCGCCAAACTTGGTACACTTTCCGATCTTTCCATTACATTGTTGTTTTCTTCCAAAATATTCATATTGCTATCATGGGCCACGATTTTATTCGAGGAAAAATATTTCATTCCATCCCTTTTTCGACCTTTTCTGAAGCAAATCCCAGAATCGGGATCGCATTCATAATCGTCAAATGTAAAGATCATTACCTCGCTTTCATTGCCTTCCGCCTCCACGGCAGGTTGATAATTCCCGGTATCTACCTCACTAGAGCTTTCAGACATTATCTCCTGTCGGTTAATTGGACAAGTTTCCATGTCTTTACCTTTGCGAATATAATTCCAAAAGTTCTTCTCGATGCACATGTCACGCGCCATCTTTTGAACTCTGGGCGATTTTGGCGGGCGGGTCGGTAAATTATCATGATAGTTATTTTCAACCGGCAATTCATCCTCATCAGAATTATCCTCAACTCTGCTCAAACTCTGAACCTTTTCCAAGAAATTTGAAGGTGCCCAGCCTACAGAATGACTTGATGTCCTCACTAGCCACCAGCCTCCTGAATCTTCCTCTAGTACTTCCACCTCAGCGTTCTCTCGCAAATTCACTTCCTCTTCGTCCTGTTTTTTGTATGACCCCATAGCGTAAAACCTTCTGTTATTGACCAGTTCCGGCATGTTTTCTGTGTACTCGTCGCCTTCGTCTTCATCACTTATGTCTTGGTTGTCTTTAACAGCTTCATTCTCTGAATCACTGATTTCGTGTGCGGGATTAGACTCTGGCTCAGGTTCTTTGTTATCGTCCATGAATGGGGCGTTATCACTAGTCCCTGTGGACGGAAATTCACTCGAGGGTATCGGGTAAAAGACATCGTCACTAGCAGAAGTACTGCTAGTATTTGAGTCCTGATGCACCAACAATGGGCTCGGAATAGGACTTGTCCTTCGAGACACAGTTTCGGGAGCCTCTTCTGTTACTAACGACAAGGGCCTTGGTTTTGATAATTCAATACTGTTTTCATAGGTATCTTCCGTATTATTTTTCATGTCATCTATTGGCTGAAGTCTGGCGCTAGCCCGTACTTCATTGGGGTCTAGTTTCCCTCTGGTTCGTCCTTTACCCGGTACTTCACTTTTAGTGGCCTCGTGGAACTTTAAATTTACGTAAGTTGGTGTAGCAGCGGAGCGAGTAGATTCCGTTTGGTTGGTTCCATGCCCTGGGTTAGTTCTCTTCTGAGGAGAGAAATGTGAAAAGTATGTTAAAAAGAAGACAAACGTAACCCTCTTATGCTTAACCCTCTAACAACTCATCAAGTAGTTTTATAATGTCAATAATATCAACAATGATCACCCAACATCGCGAACCTTTATTGACCAATCAGGTCAATAACCAGAATTCAATATCATCAACTGATGTGATGCAACTCACTTTAACTCTGAAGATAACTACTGCATAGGCTGTCGAAACGTCAGTCATTGTCAACAACAGTCCTATTCAGGACTAGGATCACCCGAACGATCATGCTCAATGTACCTATGAAATGACTCATGGGTTCAAAATGCTGTCTCCTGGTCTTAGATCTAACAAATTATTCTCAGTAGTGATTATATCCCGTACTTTGCGCGTGCGTAGTTCGTTCATTGTTTTACCATGTGTAGACATGCTTGTTACGTTTTACTGTTCGAATTCGCCTTCTAAATACGTGAAACCCAGTACATTACAATAGCACAGTGTGAAATGTATAGAGGACAATGTAAACATCTTTTTAAAATTTAACATTAGGACCTACAGTGTTAACCAAACGAAAAGGAGCCGTTAAGTCTTAGGCTTTTTATGTGCCTTGACCATTAAAAAATCGTAAGAGAGGCAAGGTATTGTCTAAACTGAGGGAGATTGATTGCTTTCTCCGTTTAAAAGAAACCTACCCTTATTCACTTATTTTATTTCATTCTGAGACGGAATGGGATACCTTTCTCTCAAAAAGTATCAATAGCATGTTATACCTCCATGCCCTTCTGTACAATTTAAATAATTCAAGTAGTAATCTGATATTGTGAGCCAATAAGATTATTTAAAATACCAATATCACTGAGTGGAGTATGTGTATACTTACAACACTCCTTTTTCTTTGGGGTGGTTTCCAAGTTTTTCTTCTGCCTGAAAGGGAGAGGGAGGATAGAATTTTTCATATGGGAGTTTAATTTCTGAAACAAATTTCAAGAAAACCACTTGCAATTGACTTTTAGAGGAGAATATTCCTCTTAGATGACCCAATTACTTCATATCCATTATGTGACCTTCATTTTTCTTACCAGATGTGATGTATTTCCGGGTATGATCTCTAAGCAGGGCCCTGGCGTTATGCTTCCCCTTTTCTCGCTCTTTGTAACGCGAAGTGGCGATTTCTCTCATGAACATTGATGGCGCCCAACCCTCTTGATCGTCGAACCTGCAGAGAAAGACTGGTGTCACTTTCACTACTTCTTTAGATCATAGTTAGTAGAGAAGACTGGTTAGGAAACCCGTCAAACATCAAAGTTGAAAACAATGGTGCTGTAGGTTATGTTGTCAGGGGCGTAGCCAGGATTTTTCAAAGGGGGGGTCACAGAGGCTACTCACCACGCCCATATTAACTAAAGATAAGAGCCGTTGACGAAAATACTTAAAAAAAAAACAAATTTTAAAAAAGTGGGCTTTTCAACAATGTCTTTTACGGCCAAGATATTGTCATGACGTTTTCGCTACCTGAATATTGTAGGTTGTTTGCTCAAAAGAAGGCCTACCAAGGGGGGTCACGGGCACCCCAGGACCCCCCCCTCCCCTAGTTACGCCCCTGGTTGTAATCTCTCTGACCTTGCACAATCCTTTGTTTTCTGTTCGCAAATTATGACTGAATAAATTAATGCAATGTTTCTATTGGTCAACAACTTCAAAATGATAGAATTGCTTGAACGTTGATTGAACGTTGTGCACGGTCAGGTCCAAAAAAGCTAACAAAAACCTATAACAATAGGTTTCCCCAACCATTCCACTTTAACCAACTATGTTTAAATTGTGAATAGCTACGACAACTTGCTCACATAAGCCCGGGCGATTTTTTTTAGGAGGGTAAAATAATGAAGATATTTGCTGTATAAGGATTTAATGGGCTAAGTAATCACACCCTAACCAAGCTTTCGTTAAGGCCTCCACCCTGGTGGAAAACACATTTTAAGTTTCTCTTTGAATTATTCTCTATATACTGACTGTATCGCAAGAGAATACTGTAGCACGCTTGCCTCGGGGAGATCTCCAAATTTAAACCAAAGAAACGTCTTGCATTTTCCTTAGTGAGGAATCAAAAAGCAAATACGCGCTATCAAAAAGTGGTATGTCTGTGCGCCTATATATCTGCGTGCCTCAATTTCCTCTGCATGTCCATCCTAACAACTGAATAACAACTCAAATGAGCCCAGGAGCGAGTAAAGCACTTACTTGATAAGCCACCATCCGTCAAGATTTTTCTGAATAACTTTAACAATCTTTCCCATATCAAAATTAACCTCATCTTCTAACTGAGGCTCGTATCCTGCCATGGTGATATAGGTTTCCTCTGTGAGATATCAAAGAGCATTTTAGAAAAGGCTCAAAGACAGGCAATAGCGCCCATAAATAGAAAATAAGAAGCAACATTTGCGTCTCTGAATTCTTTCACTGTGCCAGTTGGCTTCTAGTCCATTTCTAGTCGATTGTTTGTCGAATGAAAACGGGATTTCATTGAAAAACTTCCAAGGTCAACAACAACCTCGTTTCCAGGGCTTTATCCCTAAGGCTTGGAAAGTCGACATATATATAGTTGATTTCGATTGACCAGATTTCTACGCTTTCAGGAGCTTGGATCGACTACCTCACCCTCTACCAGCTACTCATAGTTTTCTATCGTTTCCTACTTACAGTTGTAACTGAGTCTACAACGAAGTTTCTTGACGTGATCGACTAAAAAACCTAAGTTGCTGGGCACATTTCACTTAATCATCATTTTTTATAACCTCTCATGTTGTCGCGTTCGTCAGAACGCGTCCTAATCTGGTGTTCCTGTGGCACAAAGGCAGAAAGTTTTGAGCTATTATGGGCGACTGCCGAATGGCCGCCCCTATTCAGATTTTATCAGGGGCATCTCGGCCGAGAAACTGGACTCGTAGTCGACTCGATTTTGTTTCCGTAAGTGACGAACGCGGATCCGTAATTAATGATTACCTCTAGGTTACTCTTGTTGCTTTCTTTTAGCACCCGCAAACGTACGTCCGTGGCCTCTCGCGTCATTCTTTCAAACTTCTTTGAAGAACAGTGAATTCAAAACCACCCACAGTACCTTTCGGGATTTTCGCGTGCACTTTTTCTGACAGCCTTTCTCGAAATAGCTGTATACCTGTATACTCATACGCTGACGCTGCCATCGCTAATTTCTGTCTACAAACAGTTTTCATTCAAACTATGTGGCTGAATTCAGATGTTTGGTGTAATAAAATGTTTTTAAGAAAAAAAAAAAAGAATTCTGTATTTTACTTACCTTCTCCTTCCTTAAACACTTCCAGGACTTGATCATCCTCGCTGCCGTCCCTGGGCTCCAGATACGACGCTGGTGCCCAGCCTACCTCGCCATCAAGATCCACAAACCACCAACCTTGAGAAAAAAAAGTTAACATATATAGCCTACTACAAAAAAAGGTTGTAATAAAGCTTATAGCAGAAAGGTGTATACTTGAGAACTGGCTTTGTAATTTTATTTCCAGTTTTTCAGGATTGCCCGCTCTTACCATATGAACAGATTTTCTTCATTCTTCATTAATATAGCTTGTTCGGACAAGATACTTGCTAGATACTGCTGTGCTGGTCTCGTTCGACTTCCTCTCGGTCAAGACTTACAATGTACTTACTCACTCACAGTACTTCGTACTTGCAATGCTTAATTCATTCATTCATTCATTCATTCATTGATTACTTGCTCAATTTACGTAAGCCAGGAATCATCCCGTCATTGCGAGCCAAAGAAAGGAAAAAAATTGGCCGATTTCCCGCTTACTATTTTAAACTCATGTCTGGTCAATAACACGTACGTATAAACTGATTACCGTGGTGAAAAATTAATTCGTTTCCTCGTAACACTTATTCAGTGTATGCCTCTTGATTGCTTACCGTGTTCATATTTTTCGATGACGTCCACCACGTTCCCTGATTTTAGAGTAATATCACTTTCATCTTGTTTGACGTAATCACAGATAACCACATACTGTTCAACCAACATTGGCTCCGAAATATGATGTATGTATCTATCTGTAGAGCAAAACAACAATCAACATCATTGTCGACCGTGTAAGATAAACTTGCTTAAAGGTATTCTTCAACCGATCGATACTAAAAAATACACCTTGGAAGACGTCAGTCTTATTCCTAAACGTATCTAATGAGACTGTGAGACTAGAGGCACTCTCCTGTATGAGAAGTATTTCATCGTTAATCATAAGTATAGCAAAATTCTCAAATCTGATTGGCTATCAACCTTCGTGATTATTTCAGCGCTAAAAGGACAGTGTAATAGGAGAGTACGCGTCATGCCTAAGTAATAGGACAATACGCGCACGCGCGCACTTAAATGGCCTTTTTTTCACCGCTAGCAAAAAACTCGGAATTTGTTGTGTTGTTATAATTATGATGAACTGGTAGCAGAACTTCGTGTTGTCCAGTTCGGCCTGTAATGATACTCGTGATTAAACAAATCACTGGTATGATTATAGAGCGAATTGAATTCCACTTAGTCCTGTAACCATTAAACCATTAAACATTTGATGAATTGTCGAGAAATGTATTAGTTACAGTTTAGTCCCATACTATTAAGATCTTAAGCGACCAGAGTATCTAAGCTAAAGGTGCAGAAAAACGTGCAGGTGCGTATTGGTCTTTAGTTTCCTCTTCTAAATCTGATTGGCTGATCAAGAGAGACGAGATTTTTCAGGCAATTACAGAGGATCTAGGGTCAAAACTGAGAATTCACGGAGACTCCCTTATCCTCAGGGTAGTTTTCGCGTTCGTCAGAAAGCATCCTAATTTTCGAGCTATCACAGGCGACTGCCGATTAGCCGCCCCTATTAATTCTATGAGGGGCGTCTCGGTCGCTGGAAACTGGACTCCCTTGAACTCGTTTTCGTTTCCTTTAGTCTCGTTTTCGTACAGATATCATGCTCGTAGAATAAGACGAACACAGATCCATAATCAATGATTATTACTAGTAATATCACGCTTATAGGTCAGGAAAGAGGAGACAAAATCTTACGTTTGGGCTTCTGTGATCCACGTTTTAGGTCATCGATACTCTGCATCCTGAAAACGAATTTGGGAATTCTTGGTTATATACAACAAAAGATGTTTATGTTACGTCTCGATCATAAACAAAAATAAGAAAGACAGTTTTTGATATATCAAAAATATGTAAATATAATTTGAACGAGGAGGTCATTTATGATCCTCGTGTGCGAATCATATCTTGCATATACATACTGCTTAGACAGGAATATTCGACCAAAAAAGTTTTCTTTTCACTGTGGTCAAGACATCAATGGTGTTTGGACACCCATGACTCCTACACTGACTGTCCATGTTAACGAGATGTCCACCACACAGAGAGGGAAAGACTTAAAATTAATGAAAGACGGAGAGGACGTTCGTGTCCTCTGGGTGTCTGTTTTCGACAGGTGTCCTTTCAGGGAGGGGAGAGTGACTACATTCATTTTTTTACACCTCGTCCCCAAGGCTTTTCCGTAGAAAAACAGGTGGGGACCTTGGGGACGAGGTTGGTTTCCAAGACAACCGCTATCTTGAACCAAGGCACAACTCAGATGTGTTAATATTAATATGTCACTTACTCTTTCTCTTCGTGGTCTATCTCAATGAGATCTTCAGGCAACGGAAGAAAGAAGGTTATCACTGCATCCGACTCAGAGATGTGCAACGGAAGATGAACCACGCCCTAAGACGAGATTAGAAAAAATAAAAGAGCCGAATGAGGTTAAGTCTGTATAGCTCGAGAATACAAAACCCCTTTAGTTACTGATATCTCAGTAACCGTAAGTGCAAAGAATTCGAATAGACAAAATCTAGTGGCCTCGTCACCAAGGCTTTTCCAGTATAAAATGGGAAGGAAAAAGGCATAAGCTCAGAGAACGAAGTTACTGAGAGGTTTGTTTTCAAAATCTCAACAATAAAAAAGAAACTGTGACCCTTCTGCCTTGCAGGAGGCCCTTTTTTGTCTTTTTGTTTGAGTGTTCTATTTCCACATGCTTTTTAGCGAAAAATACCCAGGGTACCAGAGACTCTTCTAGCGCGGTTTCTGGTGTCTGTCAAGTATTTATAGGTTTTTTCTCGCGACTTCGGCCTTCGGACACCTGAGTATCCCTCCATACCAGATAAAAAACCTCTAGTACCCAGGTAAGCGTAAAAAGCCTCTACCTTTCAAGATATTTACAAATTAAATCGTTTTTGTTCTTAACGTCACTCACTTTAAGGAACTCCTCCACTACTGGCAATCTCCTGATTGCTTTTGCTCTTTTTTTGATAGTAAACCAATCGGATAACCTCTTTCCTACGAAAAAAAAGCCCAAATACGTCTTTAGTGATTTCTAAATAAATATACCCTTAAAACAATGACTAAAACCAACCAATAATCACGTTCCCTCCACGCACATGTAACGTAAAGACAAAAACAGTTTAGTACATATAGGTGCCACGCCCTAGCTTTAACAACAAAAGATTGGTTTTAAGAAATAGCTTAGAGAGTGACTGATACTTTTTCCTCAAGTGAGGAATGCGAAGGCATATTCTTTGCCTCCGACAACAGTCTTCCACTTCAGCATTTTTCTCCACATCTTTTTTTTAATATTAGGTATTCAATTTACACTGGAAAAAATTTCGAGCTACGATAAACCATCAGAGCAGTAAATTGTTTTCATCATATGGCTGGCTCCACGAGCAATTCTGTGTTCTGATTGGATACTCGAGCTGATAATCGGAACGATAAAGATGGGCTAGGGACAAGATCCTTGAGGCTTATCCGGAGCAGGATTTAGATTTTCGGAATATCAGGTGAATCCTTTGTATCACGTGTAAACGCCCGTAAATCCGGCAACCCTAAATGCAATAGATCTGGAATTATTTTTGAATCCGGAAAAATCTCGTCTACGGTAAACGTGGCGAAAACGGCACGTAACAATAGACCTTTTTACCGATACGGCGGCCATATTGAATTAATTTGATTTAAGGAGTATTATAGGATGCCCAGGGGGCATGAGCACATTTCGTTTGTATTTTCGAGCGCTTTTCGGGACATTTTTTCTTAAAGTTTTCTTAGAATAAAATTGTAATGGGCAAAAAGATCCTTGTGCCGTGTTTTGATGTAATAATGATCGCCTTTTTCCTAAGAAAAATATAGTGAAAGTCCATATTTCTAATACTAAACCAGAAAAAGACGATCATTATTACATCAAAACACGGCACAAGGATCTTTTTTCCCATTACAATCTTATTCTAAAAAAACTTTAAGAAAAAATGTCCCGAAAAGCGCTCGAAAATACAAACGAAATGTGCTCATGCCCCCTGGGCATCCTGTAATACTCCTTAAATCGAGTTAATTCAATATGGCCGCCATATCGGTAACAAGGTCTATTGATGGCAGGTTACCTTTAAGAGTTATGGTAGAAATGTCTTCTTCCTTCCCGTTTTGCAATAACTGTTCCTGATAAAATTGAAAGAGACAGTTAAATATCACGGGTGTCAAATACTCCCTTTTTAGAGAGTGCCTCCACACCCCTCCCCAAAAAAATTAAACGCCCAACGTGGGGCTCGAACCCACGACCCTGAGATTAAGAGTCTCATGCTCTACCGACTGAGCTAGCCGGGCGAAATTCATGAAATTTTAAACATCTTTGAATAGTTTATCTATTGGCCTTTCCGAATTTTAAATTCTCAATCTCTACTTTGGGGAAAGTTCTGAGTTTGTAAAGGCAGTTTTCTCTTGTATACAGCTTGCTCAATAACGAACTTTTATCCTTATTGTGAGTTGAGACAAAGAAAACTTGGCAGGCTTCTGGACTCAAACTGAACCAGGAAGTCAACTGACAGTGGCAAGCACCTGTCTTTATTATGCAAATTGTTGAATAGTTGCACGTGCAGCTCGTGCAGTTCGTGCCAAAACTCTCCTGAGGACGAGGCTATTTTATCTGCGCATTTTTAAGAGTAACATGTGCTTGGAAAGACTTTCAGGTCCCGTCCAAACGTATCCAAATATTCCTCCGATTTTGAAGAAAAAAGAAGGCGTCCACAAGGAGCATATTTGAATCGCTTTCGTCCGTGCACACGAAAACAGTTAAACGGTGGAATTTCGATAGCATTCCTCACAGAGCATACGTAGTATATGATGTATGACATTATCCACGAACCGATTAATCGGCTTCTGATATCACCGTAATCGAAAACAGTCCGTTTTCGTCTGTCCACGTGTGATCGAGAAGCTGACGGCGTTTCCAAAAATCGCCACGCTGGAGAGCGTTTTGAAAAGATGCATTATCGGTCACCGGATGCTTGTAGACGGTAGGACGAAACGGACGAAAAAACTCCTTTTTTGAACAAAAAAGGATACATGTTGGCAGGGCCTCAGTGAGAGTAATTTAGTAACACTCATTGAGAATGGCAGCACTTTTATTACCGAGTTTCAAATATTGATTTGCATCAAATAAGCATACAAACGAGGTTATTAGTGAATGCGATGTAGAATTACAAGACAAATGATAACTGACAAGACAGCTAATAACTGTAGTAACGTAACCCGGATATTGTATCGGTTCCACCCTCCGCGCGCGGTCACAAAATAAATGAAAACAGTGTGCCAGACAGAGATACAAAAACGAGTAGAAATAGAACAATATTGTTACCTGCAGTTCAAGCAAGGTGTCGTAACTTCTGTAAACTGGAATGATTGGCCCATCTTGCCACTGAACATGAATGACGTATACCTAATCATTCATGACATAATGTCCTAAGTTAGCTCATATGAATTGAGGTTTAATCTGGGTATCTCACCACCTACCCCTTCCCTAAGTCAACATTAACACTTACTTCTCACTTTGGGAAAAACTGTGACTTAGGGAAGGGGTAGGTGGTCAGTTATTCGGAAACCTCAATTGATCCGTGTAGATGATGGATAATATTTAGTTTCTTTACTCACAGCCCTGAAAGATACGCTTAATTGATAGTAACATCTTCATATTTGCACCTCTAGACGAGACAATGTTCATCTCCGCCTGGCTTATTCTGTCTTACAACTTCTTTATTCAAACATGATCAGTCGGGTTGGAACAATCGCAAAAAAGTTTCAAATGATTATAATTTTTTTCAGGATGCCTTTGATGGCGTAGCCGTTGTTGGAACGTTAGGTCCCAACTGATTGCGAACGATCAATCCCCTTGGGAGTCAGTCATGAAGTTTAAAATCGCCCCATGCAAGGGAACCTGGGAAAATTTTCTTGTGGATTCCGGAATCCTAGTCTTTGGAATCCGGAATCCAATTTCCACCGCTAAAGACTACAGAATACAGTACCTGGAATCCACAGCGTGCAATCGAGAATCCGATACTGTCTTGGATTCCCTTACATGCCCTGGGGCGAGAAAAGGGTGGCGATTTACCACAAGACAAAGGACAACACAGAAATACTGACTTACATAGTGTTTTCGAGGCTTTTTCCTTTTATGGATGTCGTGTACTGAAACGTCCTGAACTCGTGTAAGACTCATTGTCCAGGCAGAAAACTGAACTGATCCCTCGGAAGAAACCTGACTTGGGCAAAACACATCAAAATGAGCACTTTGTAAAGCTAAGCTTTGCATTGAAACACCCTCCTTGCCTAATTTTACCAAACAATTTTCGGTATCAACGACTGTAAGTACTGCTGGAACAACGTGAATAGCCTGTACTTATTATATTACGACCGGTCAATACCAACCAGGAATTCACAAAACGGTCGTGCAGGAGGGAGATGTCAGTAATATGAGATATATCAATAATTAAAGTAGTCACGATTGCTAAAAGTAAAATAAAGGTCGCCCGACGTGGGGCTCGAACCCACGACCCTGAGATTAAGAGTCTCATGCTCTACCGACTGAGCTATCCGGGCGCGCTGATAGTGAGAATACAGTTCCAGCTGGGTACTATAGGCTTTTGACAAATACAGCAAAAACTATAATAAGGAAGGTCAGTGAAAATGTTGCTCCGTAGATTTATTGCATTCACACTTCAGTTGGCAAATGTTGGAACTTGGTCACTTTTTCGATCATATATTACGTTATAATAAGAGTGAAGGACTTAAACAAACTTTAAAAGTTATCAAACTTGTTTCCTAGGGTGGGTTCCATTACATTATATTCTTCATCATAATTATGTAATGGCGCTTCCAAGGTCCTCTGCCCGCGTTGTCTCGCTGGCGGTGCATTCATGACCATAAAGCAGAAGAGACTAATACAATTACTCAACTAGGAAACCTTAAAAGCACTACAAAATGCCAAAATATTAAACCTTTGATTTAAAACCGTAAAAATATAGCACAACATAAGTCCATTAAAAATCCATTACCTGGGAAGGCCAAATTGCAGACGGAGTTAAGATGCTAAGTTGTTAAAACTTCCTCTTGGGATTGATTTCACTTCCAAACTGAAAACAAGCCAGAAAAGTTGTGATGAAATTCATATATTGGAACTGGAGCATGATAAAGTACATGTTCACTTGATTACTTAATAGGCATCTGCATGACCGTAAAAGTGGTTTGTTTACTGTTTTAGTGACACACTGTTTGTTTTTCGATTTCTCAGTTTGGTGAACTGATGCTTTCATGTGAAAATTCTAATCAGCACAAATGCACACCACGAGCAGATAGAAAGACCTGTTTTACAATGATATTAGACAATTTTGATGTTCCTAAAGAATAGATCGGAATGGTAATTTATCCTGTAGGTTTCTTTTTTCTTGCCAATCAAAGTTAAGAAACGTTTTGAAAGAAGCAAATCAGATTGTGTTAATGAACATCAACGTCCTTGATTGCATTCCTTCGTAACTAAAGCTTTGGTGCTCAGGGGTGGATCCACACCGGTTTCCACCGTTTTCCGAAAATTGGTCAAATATATTTGTAATGATAAAAAACTTTCCAAGCTAAAATCTGGCCAATATCCTGTCTAAAGGACTCAGAAAACATTTCCGGGGAAAGAAAACATTTCCGGGGAAAGAATGCCCTGTGCCCCCCTAGAATCTTTCGCCTTTGGCGCTCGTTTAGGAAATTGGTCAGTTTTTATCCTAGATCCGCGCCTGGTGCTTACAGGTGCTTAGAATTTAAGACTGTTCATTCCACCAAGTGCAACTTGAGGGAGTGGAGGGCTAGTCGTCGCAATTGGCTCAGATTCTTGTCAGTCCACCCATCCAGAAAAGTCGTTGAGTAGTTCGTAGTACTCTCCGTAGTTGATTTAAGCCAGCCTCTGAAAATCACTAGGAACTGATGGATACGTTTTCGGACCACCATCCCCTCCCCCAGTAAAAAGATATCGAAATAACTAAAAGCGTACAGTCAACTCTCTCTAAGATGAACACGTCTGAGACCGGCACTATGTGTCCGTCTTACGGACAGTCAACTAAAAGGATTAAAGAAAGGCCGAGGGTAACAACTGTAGGTGTCCGTTTTAACGAGTTGTCCGTCTTGTAGAGGTGTCCTTTGAGAGAGAGTCGACTGTAGTCTGAAATGTCATCGGTCTCCTCGCCACAAACCCACCACGGGAGGCCTTTCCTGGCCCCACCTAGTGGGGGTGGGGGTGAAGAGAAGGATGACATCAACCTCGTTCCCAGGTTCTCTCTCTCACACTCACTCCGTAGGGACGGGTAGGAGAGAACCCTGGGAACGAGATTAGAATGACATTTCAAACTGCTGAAAGTAGAAGTTGCGTAGACTGAACTTCCTCACTCACACTTATCTTACGTCAATATTATAACTTTCCCTCCAAAACTCCACTCCCACGGGACTCCAAAGAGTTTGGCGAGTGCAATGTCAACTTCCTCTATCTATCCTGCTTGCCTATTCGTAACCGACGTCAGTATCTTTTAAAGCCCTTATCTCAATCAACCTACAAATAGATAGAAAACGAATTTCTAGAACAGGAATTGTTATTACCTTTTATAACCAGACCAGGCGTGAGTTTCTCAAAACGCCCCAAAAACATTTGAAAAACTATTCTAAGTTCCCTGAATTCATTAGCGGAAATGTGGTTTTTAAGAAATTTCAAATGGAAAAATTTGAAAACCTTCCAAGATCGGGAAGTTAGCTTGTGAGCAAGTTTTCCATTTGGGCGAGCGAACCGAGCCACGCGTCTCCCCTCGAGTGATACTCGCGCTTGTACTGTTAACGATATCTCCCAAATGGAGAGTTTGCTCGCAGGCTATTGGGTCGGGAAGTATATTGGCCTACTTAAGACAAAAAATCCCCAAGGATTGTTCAAATATGAATAATGAAGAAACATACTTTCTGGGCCCGAAAACGCTTCTGATTTTTCGAAAAATGCACTCCTTTTAGAGCAAATCAAGCTTTAGTTACCAGGTCTCATATTGAGATTAAATTATGCAGATGACTCTCACAAGACTTGGCAAACAATCAATAAAGTCATCTCTGGTGAACCAAATAAATTAGCTATTAACCAGCTTTATTACAAAGGTGGCAATGCTGAAGCAGTTACCATTTTTGTCAGTGGTATTGCCGTGTGCTGAACAATCTTAGCAACCGGTTTGAGAAAGCTACCAAGCAGTATCTTTTGAGAAACTTCTCTCAAATCCCACTGGCACAGAGAAGATTTAATTCAAAAAGAACTCTTAGCGCTGCACTCAATCGGCTGCACGCGAGAAAAACCCTCATATTTAACTTAGGGTAAAAGTAAATCTAAAGTTACTAGTCCAAGCTCCAGCTTGGTTACTGAGGGAATGTTCTGTCCTTATTGGTAATTTGTGAATCACTCACTCAGTCTGGGATCAGATCATTTACAGACATCGCAAACCCACTATGTGAACGCTTACTAATACATCTAGAGTAATTATTGCAACGTAACCATTTGTAGGGTTCATGAGAGAAACGTATAAATTTGAAGGGAAGAAAAACGCCTTACCTTGTATCATTGAGAAAGGAAAAAACGCCATTTCTTATACCATTGAGGGGGAAATAAATAAACTAAGCTTAGTTGTGTTGAATTTTGCGTTCTTGTGTCTATTTAAAGCGATCTGAACTCTGTTTGCGATCCTTTCCAAACCCTCAAGGAACTACGTACTTAAGAACTAATTAGGGCTTTATACCTCGTACATAAAACTGGCAACCATTCGGATACGTATCATTAGATCGCATGACTATCGGTAGATTTTTGTACGACCAATTGAAGCAAAAACTAATTGAAAATTGTTTTTAATCAATTCAGTGTAAATCTTAACGAATCTAGTCTTTTGTCAAACTACTGACTACACAGCACGAATGGCTTTTAGGTCCCTGCACTCAACCGTGACTACTTTTTAGTGAGAAGCCACTGGCGCTAATGCTTGGGCTGCGCTGAACATTGATTAAAGTCGTCTCAGTGATGTTGTTTCCCTCGACCTGAAGAAGGCATTTGCAACGGTCACGCATGAGATTCTTTCAAATTAATGGAACTTTGGCTTTTTGGAGTAAGGTGGCCTGACGCATGTAATTGGTTCAAGTCTTTTAAACTAGGATTTTCACAAAAGGAAGCAAAAATGTTCAGCGAATGATTCTTTGATTGTCCCAGCCACTTCCGATAGAATGAGGTTATCCCCAGGGGAAATCCCTAGGACCATTCCTGTTCGTTTTATACATCACGATCAACAAAATTGTCTACAGCCGAACCTCCCGTAAACGATCACCCAAAATGCCAAGAATTAGTGGTCGCTTACGGGAAGTGGCCGCATACAAGAATAGAACCGGTGTGGATAGGTGGTCGCTTATGGGAAAAGGTCGTTTACGAGAGGTGGTCGCAGATATAGGTTCGACTGTATTGTTGTTTTCTCTCCCTAGAATCCATGTAGTTGATACTAGTTTTACAATGACGAATGGTAGCATTAACAAACTAGAGAGCAGGCTAGCCTACGAGAATAGCCTGTTCCAGGCTCTGAGTGAAGGCGAGTAAGTGAAAGGCACGCCGAAAATATGAGCGCGTGATCTGGAACTCATTGAGGCTAGCTCAAGTATGGAAATAGTCTTTCCTCTTGATCTTCGCCAGTTAGGAACCCTTCTCTAATTTAATAATATATTATGTTGCTGAGTTTTCTCATATTGTCTCCCGCATCCTTGGAAAGCAGGGTTATATTTCAAAAAGTCTAAGGTTAGCTGACTGACTTATTTGTTATATACGTGTTGGGGTTGAATTTTAAACTTGGTTTAAATTTTATTTTCTTTAGTTGTTGGGTATGGTAATGTATGATAATGCGTTTGAAACAACAGATAAAATTTCCGAGGATAATATTGAACCACACCATACGTATTCCATTTCATACGGTGACACTGAGGGGGCCAAGTGTCCCGTTAAGCGGGTTGAATTTAGAGAAAATGAAAGGGCTTTCTTTCCCCTGGGACAAACCAAACTGTCCGTAATAACGAGGTGTCTGTATTAAGCGGGCGTCCGAAAAGCGGGGTTTGACTTTTCGTTGTTCCAAGATTCCTGTTCCCACATTCCACACTTCCATCCCTAACCACAATTCCTTTCGGCTTTCCTGAAACACTGGGTACAAAGAAATCGTTGTGTTTATGTGTCTGTCAGCTGGTTTGTGTTGTCAACTTTCCAAGACGAGTTTTTCCACTAAAGGTAAGACGTGCCTTTTATAAATTAGCTTATAGTAGGGAGAAATTACATAGAATACGATGGACGAAACATTGTTCAACTCCGCTCTTTGAAGAGATCTTTACTTGACTGCCAGACTGTCATGCACGTGAGCAAGCTTAAGTTTACTGAAGTTTTGTGTTCCAGCTCAGGCTTTCAACATGATAATAACGCTAAGAAGTTGTTTGGAACGTCCTTGAATCTCAATGTTTCCCTCGGCTCCACCCCGGGAAACATTGAGATTCTCGGGAAACAAAACGGGACCAGCCAGGGTGCAGAGTATGGAAAGTGCGCACGAGCCTTTTTTGAAACATAGGCACGTTAAACGTGCATGAGCTATTTTGAATGCTTCAGTGTAACTTTACCAAGAGTAATGAATCTACCTTTTTCGTCCTAGATGTAGACTGGGTTTTTGTGCGAAATTGGGTATTGCCGTACATAAATGAAAACGCGAAACGCTCAGCTGCGTCGATCCTCATGCTATATATTCATTTTCCTCTGTCTTTCTCTGTTACATTTGGTGCAAGTTTAACAAATTGTTGAAGTAAAATAAATATCTACCGACCAAACGTTGATTAGAAGGAAAACTCTTAGGTTTCCTCGGATTTTCTTGAGCCAAAGTGTGACTCGTAGAGTTCGAGTATTTAAGAAATACCAGGATTTTTATCATTGTGGTAGATGGTTGCATCATCACAATTCACGAGGTTTTCAGGTGCGATTCTACTCAGTGAAACAGTCTTTAATTCCGACAACTTATTTCTTCATGTTTTAAAAGCTATTGCTTCTTAAAAGACAACAGCCTTTTTTAAGGCATTGGTTACAAAACGAAACAGGTCTTCATACGTTCAAGTTACTATCATTATTGTGAAAAGCCAATCTGCATGAGATGTACAGTCACACAACTGGCACGTGAAAGTGGTGGACTTTACCCCCTTTCGTGATTCGTGTGTGAGACAATTCAAGTTATCACACAGTAATCTAGTAAACAGAAGTCTAAAAATAACTCATTCACACAATTTGCACGTGAAGATGTTGGTCTTTGGCCCTTTTACAATTCGTACGTAAAAAAAACGCAAATTGTTTACTACAAAATTTTCTCAACCGATTTTAAGAAATCATCTCGGCTTCATTACAACATCTGCAATTAAATTATATTTCAAGCAACGTCAAGGTTGATAGCCTAACATTTATTAACTTCCAAGAAAATTATCAAACAGCCGAAATATATTTCTGCTCATATCATGTTAGTCCATTCAATAAAACAGTATCTAATAAGTGTCAACTAGCTTCTTCCAATTTTATTCCCTAACGCTACTGTTTCTTAAGTTACTCATCTTTACTTAATAAAATATGTTTCAATAACTACAATGCTTAGTATGCAGGAAGGATGTATCATGTTGTTCACTTATTATTCTTTTTTTTTTTGTTTTGCTGGAACGAAAAAGGTCTGTTGAACTTTGTAGGCGAGAGAATAATATTATTTTTTAAAGCTTGTTTACAGGATTAACAATACTCAGTACAGCTTTGAAAAAAATAAGCTGCCTTTCAAACTTGTAAAACCACATTTTATAGGCCGCATACTTTTCAATTAAAGTCCATATCTAAATATCAATTATAATTGCTTCACTGGAAGAGCTTTGAAAATGTATGATCTTCTATACTCTACCTTACATCAGTACCATTCGTGATAGCCGAATTCGATCAGAAATGTCTTGAAATAGCATCCACACTAAAATATGAACCCTTAAACAGCTGCATCACTGTACCCAGTGTTTGAATCATGAAGATATTTAATAGAATGTTTCCAAACACCTGTAGCCGTAATAAAAGACGAGAAGATTGTGAAGAATCAATATGGCGGTGTCAAAGTGCCCTTGTTCGACCTTTAGCAATGTCATGTTTAAGTAGATGCTAAGATCTCATTGGTTCCTAAGCATCAACTCATAGTACCTTCAACCTTATTGGCTCTTGCAACAAACATCCAAACATACAAAGATACAAAGCTACAAAGCTACAAAGCCACAAAGATACATACGCTCACACCACTGACATATGAGCAATTTTTTCAAAATAGCTCAAAAAGGCTCACTGTGCGCACCAAAATCGTAGCATTGCACGCTGCAGCGTTGGGCCTAAGAGATATTCATCTGACTTACAGGGGCGCAGCTTGCCAAATCTATCCTAACCTCTCAGTTCTCCTACATCATTTCCACATCCCCTGAGGTTATATACGAATGAATGGACTGGCAAGTTTTCTGTAATCTTGTTTGTAGCCCTTCTTTTGAATGAATACCATATTCTGGTATAACAAATAGTATTGCACACAGTGCACGCGGCTAAAATTGGCTCTGCACGCATGAGATCTCATCCAGTTCTGCCATCCTCTGTATATTGGGGGACCAGTCATTAAGTGTTTAATGTAAACAGTCAAACCTGTGTACAACTGTCCCCCTTGGGAAATGTCAAGACGACCAATATACAGGGTGACTGCTATATACAGGTCAACTTGCAGAAGGTTAAAGGCAACTGAAAATTTTGGGAAGTTGTCTAGTGACTGCTACATACAAGGCCGTTTATACAGGTGTGACTGTATATATTATTCTGTTCACCAGCTGAGAGGTTGGTACTGGGAGAAACTGTGCCTGAGGTAGGCCTCAGGTGGTACTCAGATCAAGACTGAGGGCACAGTTTCTTCCAATACGGACCTCCCAGCCGCTGAATAACATTTTTATTGTTTTCCTACTGAGACTTAAAAGTTTCAGGAAATTTACTTTAGCCTTTAACCTATGTGTGTTGATGTAGGGCTCATTTGTATTGAAGAAGCTCACGATCAATTGCAAAACCAAAACAAAACATTACAACATGATTTTTAACTTGTAATTTATATTATCACAATGTTATTAAGCTTTTGTTAGAATGAAGAAAGGTGTCTTGGTAGGCAAATCATGATCTGTTTTTGTGTCAAACAAGGATTAAAGAATTGGCAAACTTGATATTAAAAGCCACAGAAAAAATATAGCAAAGATTTTCTTCAGCTGAATAATTTTGTTTAGTTCAACTAAGCAGGATTAAAACTGCACAAAGGCTTTGTAACAGAGCTAATTACAAATACGAATCTAAAGGTTTTGACTTTAATTCGTACATATTAAGGCAATGTGGTGAAGAAATAAAAGTATATCAGTAAACAAAGAAATGAAAATGACAATAATGAACTGTTGGAAAAGTTGTTTGTGTTGTTTATTCAAGATTAAAAGCTAAATCCAATCATTGACAACAAACTTTTGAAAAGTAGAAAGCCTCAATGAAAAATAGCAGAAT